TAGAGCTTCATCATTCGGTAGTAGTAGATTGGTTATACGAGAGTTAGTCAGTCTACTGCTTTGTACTGGAATCCAATTCCAGTAGTGGAGTTCTGTGCTTATTGCTTCAGCTTTCTATCCTGGTGAAGACTAGTCGTCTGCCGGGTAGTTAGACTGAGAGGGCTGGGTCAGCTTAAGAGATTCCAAGCTACTGTCGGATCTTCTGCAGTTTAATCAACAGTAAATCAACCCAGGGTAATTGCAACTGAGACCTAACTAAGGAGCTAGGGGGACTCATTCCCGAGTGACTTTTCCTTTGCTTTAGAAAACCGAATCAATTCCTGCTTTCTTACTGCTTTTAGTTAAAACCACAATCAATCAACTTAGTTGGCTAGATAATAGATATTCACGGAGTAGGCAGTAGATCTAGACCCTGGGTTGATAATTAGAGCTTGCCACTTTACTGCATTCCTGGACTGTGATTACACTTGGTCGCAGTTTGGTATTTTTGGTCGTAGCGTGTCAAGGGCGTTAGTAGATAACGGAAGCTCAGCAGACATGTTGTTCTACTCCACACTTAAAATTATGAAGATGAGCATGCAAGATCTCAAGCCTTCGGCGACGAGCCTAGTGGGGTTCTCGGGGTCGAAGATTCGAGTGCTGGGTTTAATTACCTTGCAAGTAACAATTGGAGAAGCAGACGTAACGAAAACCCGCTCCATGGATTTCCACATGGCAGATTGCCCATCGGCATACAACGCAATCCTAGGACGCGGTTTCCTATCACTATTATCCGCGATCCCGTCAACTTGCCATCAGATGCTTAAATTCCCAGCAGGGGGAAGAGTGGGATGCGTTAGAGGAAATACCGAACAAGCGAAGGAGTGTTACCAAGCGACGATTGAGAGCTTGGAGGTGGACCTAGTAGACACCTGAGAGGGGCATTATTGTCCGGAGGCGGTCGAAGAAGAAGCGGAGGTGATACTCGACGACGAGGAGCCTGGAAAAAAGGCGAGGATCTCTTCCCACCTCACGGAGGAAAAAGCGCGAGAGCTCTTGGCGCTCCTCAAAGAGTACAAAGATTTATTTGCATGGACCTCTGAGGACATGTCGGGTGTCTCCAGGGAGCTCGCCGAACATTAAGCAAATCAAAGCCCATTCAGCAGAGAAGGAGGAACGCTTTCCTCGAAAAGCAAATGGCATTGGAAGAGGAAGTAAGGCGGTTGCTCAAAGCTGGTTTCATAAGGGAGGTCAAGTATCCAACCTGGCTGTCAAACCCAGTCTTCGTCCACAAGGCATCCAGACTATGGCGAATGTGTATAGATTTCACAAATCTTAATGCGGCCTGCCCCAAGGACGCATACCCTCTACCGAGAATAGATCAGCTCATAGATGCAACCGCCAATCATGAAAGTCTAATCTTCTTGGACATGTTCTCAGGGTATCATCAGATCCTCCTATCCGAAGAAGATGAAGAGAAGACCACCTTTATGACCCACATGGGAAATTTCTGCTACACCGTTATGTCGTTTGGTCTAAAAAATGCAAGAGCAAAGTATCAGAGAATGATAGACGCGATCTTCAAAAGCCAGTTGGGAAAAAATGTGAAGCATACGTGGATGATATCTTGGTCAAGAGCAAGAAGGAGGAGGATCACCTGAAGGACCTGAAAGAAACATTCGAGAGCCTAAGAAGGGAGCGCTTGCGGCTAAACCCGCTCAAGTGCGTGTTTGGCACAAAATCGGGAAAATTCTTGGGGTTCATGATCACCAGCAGGGGAATAGAGGCAAACCCAAAGCAGATAGAAGCCATAACTAACCTAAGACCGCCAAAGACTGTCAAGGAAATTCAGGCGTTCAATGGCAAAATGGCTTCCCTAAGCCGTTTCATCCCAAGGGCAACAGACAAATGCTCCCCCTTCTTCCAGATGTTGAAAATATCAGCATCCTATTCCCAATGGAGTGTGGAGTGTGACAAAGCTTTCTTCCAGTTGATAGAACAACTAGCTTCACCTCTTGTGCTAAGTGCCCTGCGACAAGGGGAGCCTCTATACCTTTACTTGGCGGTCTCAGACCAAGCGGTCAGCTCAGTCTTGATACGAAGAGATGGAAGTGGCTCGGATCATCCTGTCTATTATGTAAGCAAGGCGCTTATCAGAACAGAAGCGTGCAATCGATAATCCAAACCAACACGAACGAACACAAATTTAACGTGGTTCACTAACACAATGTGTGCTAGCTAATCCACAGGCAGGGGAGAAATTTCACTAATTTGAGGAGAGTACAGGTTACAAACCAAATTCCAAACGGACAAACCAAACAAACTAACCTGACTGACCTTAATTACTACAGACTAGGGTGATAAAGAGTATTTATAGAACTCTTCTCCTAATCCCAAACAGAAAACTAGACACCTTTTCCCAAACATACAAGGAAAAGGTCAAACAAAGCCCAAACACAAACCCAAACAAAATAGACCCAAAACACAAAACAAACCCAAATCAAATTCAAGTCATATTCTAACAATATCCACCTTGACTTGAATTCTTTGTCAAATACCATATGTACCAGACGCAACCAAAGTTGCCAAATGTACCCAGACGCAACCAAAGTTGCCAGATGTACCAGATGTGATCGAAATACCATAGGCAGGGTGAAGAATCGCGGGAGTGGAATCGACAGAGGCAATTAAGGCAAACCGCGAGAGGCGCACGTGAGACAAAGGTAATCGTCTGGGGGAGGATAGCGCAACCCCTCATTTACTAGGCAGCCAGGAAGGAAACAACGCAAGGGCGATGATGGTAGGTGACACGCTAAAACACAACACCAAACTGCGACCAAGTGTAATCGTAGTCCGAAAATGGAGTAACATGCAAGCTCTAATTGTTAACCCGAGGTCTAGATCTACTGCCTACTCCGTGTATATATGTTATCTAGCAAACTAAGTTAAGTGATTGTTGATTTAAGTAAAAGCAGTAAGAAAGCATGAAATGGTTCGGTTTTCTAAAGCAAAGGAAGAGTCACTCGAGAATGAGTCCCCCTAGCTCCTTAGTTAGGTCTCAGTTGTAATTACTTTTGGTTGCTTTACTGCTGATTATACTGCGGAAGATCCGACAGTAGCTTGGAATCTCTTAAGCTGACCAAGCCCTCTCAGTCAAACTACCCGGCAGACGACTAGTCTTCACCGGGATAGAATGCTGAGGCAATGAACACAGAACTCCACTACTGGAATTAGATTCATGTACAAAGCAGTGAATCGACTAACTCTCGTATAATCGATTCACTACTACCTATTGAAGAAGCTCTAACAACCTAATCAGATTCTATCTATCTCAGGTTGCAGCAGAAATCAAGAAAAGATGATCAGACTTCAATTGACTCAATCAAAACACTTCAATCGATTATAATCAAGCAATATCACAATCCAAACGGAATTACAATCAAGATTCCTACCACATGGAACTAGGGTTCTTCATACCCAAGTGAGAGAGAGTTCTACTCCATAGAGAGAGAGAGGGAAACAGAATACAAAGCAGTCATACTCATAACAATGGGAAGAATCTGCTCTGGGATGTCAATCTTCACTCCTATGATGATCTCCAAGCTCGATTGATGAAACCCAGCTCCAAAATCACTTTTAGGATGTGTTCTTCACACTTTCTCTCTCTAGGGCTCTGTTTTTGCTCCAAAAAGTAGATTCTCTCTCTTTTGGCTCGAATTTGGGTTAAGACCCGAAAATTCCCCACCACACGGGCAGGCCACACGGCCGTGTGGCTTTCCCAACCGCCCGTGTGAGTGTGCAAAACGCTGCGTTTCACTTAAGTGGCTTCAGGTACGCTACACGGCCAAAACCACACGGCCGTGTGGATTTCCAGGCTACGCGTGTGAGCTCCCTGGACTTTCCACACGGCCACAAGGGGTCCCCTACACGGCCAGTGTGGCTTGCCCGTGTAAAATGGTGCCACACAGCCAAGTCACACGGCCATGTGAGATTTTAGGCGTGCCCGTGTGGCTTTCCCTGCTTCTCGCCAAACGTCCAATCTTCGTCCAATCGACCCAGAACTTGTTCCCAAACCTTCATTCACGTACTAGGATATGAAATATCACAAACAAGAACAACCTAGCGTGAAATCGGCCTAAAACACGAGAAATAAGACTCAAACAGTACAAGAATGGTGGACAAAAACATGTGTATATATCAAGTCATCAAATTCCCCCACACTTAACCGTTTGCTTGTCCCCAAGCAAACCAAGTCAACTACGAGGTAAGCTCAGCATATTTCAATCATACCAACATTGGGGACAATTCATATAGGCACAGAACACGTGAATCATACTGGCTTTTGATCATTGCGATATGGACAACTCAACAACAACCTAGACAACCACCACAGAGGACATTCGAGTGCAGCAAAATCGGTTAAAGGAAGAGGAATCCTTTCTGTTCACTAATCAACATAGACTTGACTCAACAACTTGACCAAGACAGTCACCTCATGCACAAAACTCAAGATATCAGAATTGAGACCGAGCAATCTAGGTCCTCACCGGGGTAAAAGATTATAGAGAATATGAGAAATCGCTCACTCTGGACTAGTGGGGTCAGGAAAATTTGATGCGAAAAATGTGCATGCTTATTCTCTCAATCCCTAACATCTCTTCACATGAAGGCAGCCTCTAAATGTTAGAGTTCACATATGGGGTGTCACCACTAACTAATCCGGAGGTCTTAGACACAGGTTCAGATGACTGGCTAGGGTCTTGGACATGAGGAAAAGGCCTTTTAGGTGGTGTAAGTATTCATAGCACAAGGTTCCACATTTCCCAACCCAACACAATCACAGTCAATCAAACCACTTACTTTCTTTCTGCCATTCTGCATTACTCAAATTCTTTAGAGCACAAGAGCGAACGAGGTCACATAAATGTTAGTATTTCCAAGCCAGGCTGCTAAGAAACACTACTTAATGGGCACTATTCAGATTTTGTGGTGGTGGCTCTCTTTTGCTTTCATTATTTTTTTTCTTTTTTTTTCATTTCTTGAGAGAACCACCACCTATGCACATTTTTCAAACACATGCCCAAATTTTTTTTTAAGAACTACCTCCAACCCCACATTATATTTAGCAGAAACACCAGAGAACATGCAAAAACCACTCTGTGGAACCTTCTAAAAGATGCAAAAGGGTGATTTTCCATTGTAGACCGAAAGGAAGAAAAGTACACGGCTCAAAGGGCTGACTAGGGGGTATGACACACCAGGACAATCAATTTGGTCGTGGGCTAATCCTATGCCTCCATCATCTTAGCTAGTGACAACGTGAAGGACATGAGGAAAAGGCCTTTTAGGTGGTGTAAGTATTCATAGCACAAGGTTCCACATTTCCCAACCCAACACAATCACAGTCAATCAAACCACTTACTTTCTTTCTGCCATTCTGCATTACTCAAATTCTTTAGAGCACAAGAGCGAACGAGGTCACATAAATATTAGTATTTCCAAGCCAGGCTGCTAAGAAACACTACTTAATGGGCACTATTCAGATTTTGTGGTGGTGGCTCTCTTTTGCTTTCATTATTTTTTTTTTCTTTTTTTTTTCATTTCTTGAGAGAACCACCACCTATGCACATTTTTCAAACACATGCCCAACTTTTCTTTTAAGAACTACCTCCAACCCTCACATTATATTTAGCAGAAACACCAGAGAACATGCAAAAACCACTCTGTGGAACCTTCTAAAAGATGCAAAAGGGTGATTTTCCATTGTAGACCGAAAGGAAGAAAAGTACACGGCTCAAAGGGCTGACTAGGGGGTATGACACACCAGGATAGTCAATTTGGTCGTGGGCTAATCCTATGCCTCAATCATCTTAGCTAGTGACAACGTGAATGCTACACATCATGGAAGAGGGGACTATCGCACAAGAAAGAAACGAGCAGGCTCAAATCTCACATGGATACCTATATGCCCTATCTCTCATTATGATTCCCTGAACTAGATGCATAAACGACTATCAAGAGTAAGTGATCAATCCAAGTCACAGTTGGTAAGCAAACTGTCCAAAAAAAGCTAAACCCCTACACAATTCTACTGCACATCTCAGCCATCATCATAGGTTGTTCTAGTTACAATCAAGTTGTCATGCAATAATTCGAAAGCCATTCGATTCACCAATCAAATCCACAGTGCCAATATAATCATGCAAACCTCAGTACTTGGAGCCCTCAAATCTCGAGATTTGGACAGCGGACTAGGCTCCAAGCACACATATATAGATTTCAACCGATACAAAGCCCCCCCCCCCCCCACACACACACTTAAAACACGACATTGCCCTCAATGGAGCAGAGGGAGAGATAAGGGGAACGATGTTACCGGAAGGAAAGACTGTCGGGGGACTGAAAGTGGACCAGTCAGTGGGGCTAGCATCAGCAAAACACACTGGGTGATAGAAACCATAGTTCCAAGTGGACAAGCCGGAAAAAAAGACAGAAAAACAAACCTTGGTGGGGTTGCCTCCCCACAAGCGCTTCTTTTACATCTAAGCTGGACGGTGGCTCCTAATTTTCGGTCCACCCCAAAACCTCCTTGAAGTTGAGGTTCTCGTCGATGATGTGGAGTCTCAAGTCACGAGCATGTGATGTGATAGGTGATGAAGATGGCTCGTGGCCTTGATGAAGATGAAGTCTCCACTCTCGAGACCTCTCCTTCGCGTCTGCTCTTGTCTCATTGCCCCAAACCAGATAAGATATATTCGATTGACCACCATCGCATCCACCAAGAGGGATCGATGTTGATTTGATCTTGGTCTAGCAAAGAGACACTGCAAATGGGTCCTTGCCAAGCAGCTCCTCGAAGTTTGGTGGAGATATCATATGTAACTCATGGCCGGTGCATGCCTCTTCCACCTCAACTTCATCCTCAGCCTGGACACCACATGCTTCTTTAACCCCCCCCCCCCCCTTCCTTCATCAGAATGTGATTTCTCCCCTTGGAAAAGATCAAGAACTTCCTCTTCTTTGCTTTCTTCCTCGTCCTCCACAAATTCTTCCCTCACCCTTTCTCGCTCTTCTTCTTCTAGCACAAATTGGAGAGCAAGTCGCCATGTAATTTCTTCAATGAGATCATCTTGCATCTCCTCGCTCGGGCCCACCATGTTAGAGCAGAAATGAGGAAAGGTGTGATCTACAACCAGAGGACTTTCCTGATCATGATTATCATGGGAGTTCTCTGTGATAACTTCTGTATGCTCCTCAACGTCCCCGTATCCTTTGTCATCCTCCACCTCTTCTAGCGTGGTAGCAGAAAGGTGATCTTGAGCAGGATGTGAGCAAACTTTCTCCACCCACTCTGTTTGCTTCGCTGAGCACTGAACAGTTTCCTCCATTTCATGGAGAAATGAGGGATCGGAAGGGGCAAGGGCTTGGATTTGAAGATCCATCTTGGAGCATGATCTCTCAGTATCTCGAGCAAACTACTCCACGAGAAGCCTTAATTGTTTGTTCGGATCTTCTAGTGAAGTGTAGCATGGCTTTGCAGAGTGGCCCGTGAAGGCCTCCATGGATAAATTTAACTCAGATGGCCCCTCTGGTTGTGGCAGGAACTCTTCTTGAAAAGGATATTGTTCTTGAGTTTCCCAAGGGTTTAGTTGTTCTCCGTAGTAGGGGGGTTGGTACTGACATCCAAATCCATAGTCTTCTCCTCCTTGGTTGCTCCAGGAAGTCTCGGGGTAATACCACACAGATGGTGGTTGATACCCCCAATGGTTGGAGCAGCCATGAGGATCCATGTTTCAGATCTGCACCAACAAAAACATAACACCCAAGTGAAAAGCAAGGGTGGAAAAGAAAAGAAAAGAAACTAAAGTAACAGACTTTCACGTTTCTACAATAACCTAGAGGTCCCCGGCAACGGCGCCAAAAACTTGACACGCTAAAACACAACACCAAACTTCGACCAAGTGTAATCGCAGTCCGGAAATGCAGTAACAGGCAAGCTCTAATTGTCAACCCGGGGTCTAGATCTACTGCCTACTCCGTGTATATCTGTTATCTAGCAAACTAAGTTAAGTGATTATTGATTTAAGTAAAAGCAGTAAGAAAGCAGGAAATGGTTCGGTTTTCTAAAGCAAAGGAAGAGTCACTCGAGAATGATTCCCCCTAGCTCCTTAGTTAGGTCTAAGCTGTAATTACTTTTGGTTGCTTTACTGTTGATTATACTGCGGAAGATCCGACAGTAGCTTGGAATCTCTTAAGCTGACCAAGCCCTCTCAGTCAAACTACCCGGCAGACGACTAGTCTTCACCGGGATAGAATGCTGAGGCAATGAACACAGAACTCCACTACTGGAATTAGATTCCTGTACAAAGCAGTGAATCGACTAACTCTCGTATAATCGATTCACTACTACCGATTGAAGAAGCTCTAACAACCTAATCAGATTCTATCTATCTCAGGTTGCAGCAGAAATCAATAAAAGATGATCAGACTTCAATTGACTCAATCAAAACACTTCAATCGATTATTGATAATGATGTATTTGCACATGTTTGCACCCTTAGTTCTTATCCGTTTGCGGCTAGTAGTCGTGTATTTTTTGCCCATTTTACGTCGGGTTGTGCTGCTTTGTCATATTTCAGGTCCCAGACGTCGAAGGAAAGGCTAAGCATGAGTTTCGGGGAATTTGGAAGTCATTCGGTGGAGCTGGGGCCAAAGCACGGGCTGGCCTAAACCAAAACACGGTCACGTACACAAACAAGCACGCCGGTGTTTTTATTGCCGAGAGCTGACCTGATGGAAAAGCAAAACACGGGCTGGCCTAAAGCAAAACACGGCTGTGTCCATATTTAGGCACGACCGTGTTTTGGACGACGCGGGCGTGTTTTTAACACGGGGCAAAACCAAAGCACGGTCGTGCCCTCGACCGAGTTTTTCTCAAGGTCGGCCTTTTAGGCAGATTTGAGCCAAAGGAAAAGGGGTTCCGAGTTTTAGAGAGACAGAGCGATTCCTAGAGAGAGAAAGTGACGAACCAGAGTTCCCAAGTGCCCTAGCTTGATCTTCATCACCATTGGAGCCCGGCTTGATCTTGGAGAAGATCCGATTGAGCGCTAGAAGCAGATTATCATCCTTCACATTATGGTTTCCGCATCTAAACTAGATTTTCCATCTCTCTCTATGGAGTAGTTTTCTTATTCATCTGGGTATGGAGAACCCTAGATTTGTGGGTTAGGTCTGATTGTATGAACCCGAGTACAGATTCTATGATTTGATTATATTCAATTGAGGTTTGAATGATTGAATGGCATGAATCCTGATCAAATTCCTGTTGTTTCTGCTTTAACCTAGAAAGAGAATAATTGCCTAGGTTGATAGAGCACCCTTAATTGAAGGTAGTGAATTGGTGACTTTAGTCGAGGAGCCAATTCACTATTCTGTACCGAATTTACTTCGGTAGTGGAGGTTTGGTTCGTTAGGGCCTCAATCTGTTTACTCCGGTGGAGGTTAGTCGCCCGCTGGGGACTCGGATTGAGAGGGTCTGGAGACCTTTAGTCAAGACTTCAGACTGTTTAAGAACCTCCCGTAGTATAACTATCATAGAAACTGAACTTGGTAAATTGCAATCCGGCTTAACTGCAGTCTAGAAGGATTCATATCCGGGTGACCTCTCTCAACTTGAAACAACCTTCTTGCTTGCTTTACTTGTTTGCTTGTTTGAACCTGCACTAAAGTGTCACCGCTAAATAATAAAAATTCGTTGAGTAGTCATCACATCTAGGACCCGGGTTGACATTAAAACCCAAACCCGCTATACTACGCTTTAGAAAGTGGTTACACTTGGCCATTTTCTAGAGTGACAGTAGGAGTGAGTCAAGTTTTTGGCGCCGTTTCCGCGGACGGCTAGGTTGTTGAAGAAACGTGAATTCTGTTAATTTAGCTTTTCTTTTCGAATTGTTTGCTTTGTCCCACTTGTGCCTTCACGGGTTTGCTGCTTGACTGTGTGCAGGTAGTGCATGACCCGTAGCCAGTCAGGAGGTTTACTGTCGTTGGATCCGGAGCTTGAATGCACCTGTCGCCAACTTAGGACAGAATAGCGAGCTAGACTGGCTACGGAAGAGCGCATAGACGGCCATTTGAGCAGCGAGTCCGAGGACGAGTACGAGATGGAAGGAGATCACAATCCACACCAGGGGAATCCTCACTAGGTTCCCCGGCGAATCTGATCTTGGGGAACAACCCCATACCCCAGGTAGATGGGGTTCATCATCATCCACCGCCGTCAGGTCCCACCTTGGAGTACTACTACACTCCATGGATTGCTGACATCCGCCCGGTCATCCTCTAGCCGCCTATTCCAGCGAACAACTTCGAGATCAAGCCATGCTGGATTCAACTCATTACATCCTCTATCCAGTTCCATGGCTTGAAGGATGAGGAGGCAAGGGTGCATCTTTCCCGTTTTCTACAGCTTACGAACGGGTTCAAGCTAAACGGTGTCCCTGATGACGCAATCCGCCTTCACCTCTTCCCCCATTCTCTGGCAGGGAATGCTAAGAGGTGGTTGGAGACCCAGCCCCCATTGTCCATCACTTCTTGGGACGATCTTCCCTACAAGTTCGTGCACAGGTACTATCCAGCATCGAAGACCACAGAGATCCAGCGGGAGATCACTCACTTCCGCCAAGAGCCAGACGAGTCACTTCGTGATGCATGGGAGTGGTACATGGGATATTTCTGGCAGTGTCCCCATCATGGCTTCAGTGATGCATTCACAGTGTGGAACTTCTGCAGTGCTCTCTCTCCGGACAGCCAGAGGGTGATTGAGTCTCTATGCCCAGGAGGGGATATTCTTACTAAGACTCCACCCGAACTAAACCAGATGATCAATACCTTGGCTGCCAGAGATCATTCCTAGGGGCAGAGCACCAGAGGCAGGAATTCCCTGGATCGTGGTGTGCACGCCATGGAGCCCAGTTCCGGGCTCGAGCAGTAGGTGGCCGAGTTAGTGCAGACATTGAAGCAGCCCAACAGTCTTATTCCGGGCAGAGGTTTGACTACACCTCCAGTAGCTCAATGTCAGTGGTGTGAGGGCTCAAATCATCTGGTGGAAGACTGCCAGGATATGCGGGAGCTCTACTCCCCAAGAGCAGTTGGACTTCATCGCCAATGCCCGGCGTTTTGACCCCTACAGCAATACATACAATGAGGGGTGGCGCCAGCATCCCAACTTCGCTTGGAAGAGCAACACCACTAAGCCACCTGGTTTCCCAGCACCAGCAGGTGGTTTTCAGCAGAGGCAGCCTTTCCAGGCTAGACAGGAGCTAGTTCCTCAGCAGCAGCCTCAGCGTCAGTATGCCGAGCTAGCAGCAGCTCCGGCTCCAGATAATCAGATGACGGAGCTGAAAAACATTCTAGCGGCATTCATGACTACCAGCCAGGCGAATTTCACGAGGGTGGACAAGAACATAAATTCACTAGAGGCAGGCCTGAGGAACCAGGGGGCCATTTTGCAAGATTTACAAAACCAGGTGGTGACATAGCTCGCCAAATTAATACCCGGGCCCCGAGAACTCTACCTGCCACAACCATCCCCAATCCACGGGAGCCGCACCAGCAGCTGAATGCCATCACCACCAGGAGTGGCAAGTCCACATCGGCGGTACCTGCCCAGGCTAGGGAGGAAGAGCCACTACCTACTTCAGCACTTTCAGCCGATGATGTAGACGTGTGGGTGGAGAAGGAAGCCCCTGCTCCCAAGCCACAACCAGTAGTTAAGGAGCATGTACCCCAGCTTTCCTTCCCCACTCGAATACATAAAGATAAGCTGGAGACTGAGTTTGCCAAGTTCATGGCAATGTTGAAGCAGCTCAATGTCAGCATACCCTTCATGGAAGCACTGTCGAAGATGCCCAAGTATGCAAAGTTCATGAATGATCTCCTCAGCAACAAGAAGACACTTGGGGATCTTTCGACAGTGATGCTGAGTGAGGAGTGTTCTGCCATCTTGCAGAACAAGCTGCCCGAAAAGCGCAAAGACCTAGGGAGTTTCACTATCCCTCTTAATATTGGCAGCATGCATGTAGGGAAGTCCTTGGCAAACCTAGGTGCTAGCATAAATGTCATGCCATACAATCTGTTTAAAAAGCTAGGCCTATGTGAACTTAGCCCTGCTAGGATGAGCATTCAGTTAGCTGATCGCTCTATTGTGCATCCTAGGGGTATCATAGAGGATCTGCTTGTTAAAGTAGGCGCATTCACGTATCCTGTTGATTTCGTTGTTCTGGATATAAATGAGGATGTGGATGTGCCTTTGATTCTAGGTAGACCATTTCTTGCACCCGCCAAGGCACTTATTGATGTGCATAGTGGTAAACTGATCTTGCGTGCTGGGAATGAACAGGCTACTTTTTCTGTGGCTGACCCTGATCATTGTGATATGCCTGCTGTCAAACCTATGCATGCTATTTCTCACCAGGTACACGAGCCTGTCGTGTACCCCCCCTGTGCATCTCGTTTTGCAGGATCCCCCTCTCACGCCTGCGCCGCCACTCCCTTCAACCTCACCACCAAACAAAAGGATCAAAGAGGAGTGGCGGCCGAAGCAGCAGGTGGCTAAGCCTGCACGTAAGAAAGGTGGAGACCACTATGAGCTGGTTCCACCTCCTGCACCACGACCACCCTGGCCATCCGAGTACTCACTCACATGCATCTTGCCGGATGGCCAGGTCGAGCTGACTAATGCTGGTGGTCGCACCCGTCTGGTGCATGACCGCAATCTGAAGTTGTACCTCAAGAGCGATGTAGATCCGCTCTTGGGGGCACATGTTCCTGCACCCCGCTGAGTATCCACCATGGGCGTCCAGCTAAAAGACGGTAAAGAAGCGCTTGTGGGGAGGCAACCTTAGTTCTTATCCGTTTGCACATGTTTGCACCCTTAGTTCTTATCCGCTTGCGGCTAGTAGTCGTGTATTTTTGGCCCATTTTACGCCAGGTTGTGCTACTTTGTCATATTTCAGGTCCCAGACGTCGAAGGAAAGGCTAAGCACGAGTTTCGGGGCATTTGGAAGTCATTCGGTGGAGCTGGGGCCAAAGCATGGGCTGGCCTAAACCAAAACACGACCGTGTACACAAACAGGCACGCCTGTGTTTTTATTGCTGAGAGCTGACCTGATGGAAAAGCAAAACACGGGTTGGCCTAAAGCAAAACACGGTCGTGTCCATATTTAGGCACGACCGTGTTTTGGCCGACGCGGGCGTGTTTTTAACACGAGGCAAAACACAGGCGGGCAAACCAAAGCACGGTCGTGCCCTCGACCGTGTTTTGTCCAGGGTCGGCCTTTTAGGTAGATTTGAGCCAAAGGAAAAGGGGGTTCCGAGTTTTAGAGAGACAGAGTGATTCCTAGAGAGAGAGTGTGACGAACCAGAGTTCCCAAGTGCCCTAGCTTGATCTTCATCACCATTGGAGCCCGGTTTGAGCTTGGAGAAGATCCGATTGAGCGCCAGAAGCAGATTATCATCCTTCACAGAATGGTTTCCGCATCTGAGCTAGATTTTCCATCTCTCTCTATAGAGTAGTTTTCTTATTCATCTGGGTATGGAGAACCCTAGATTTGTGTGTTAGGTCCGATTGTATGAACCCAAGTACAGATTCTACGATTTGATTATATTCAATTGAGGTTTGAATGATTGAATGGCATGAATCCTGATCAAATTCCTGTTGTTTTTGCTTTAACCTAGAAAGAGAATATCTGCCTAGGTTGATAGAGCACCCTTAATTGAAGGTAGTGAATTGGCGACTTTAGTCGAGGAGCCAATTCACTATTCTGTACCGAATTTACTTCGGTAGTGGAGGTTTGGTTCGTTAGGGCCTCAATCTATTTACTCCGGTGGAGGTTAGTCGCCCGCTGGGGACTCAGATTGAGAGGGTCTGGAGACCTTTAGTCGAGACTTCGGACTGTTTAAGAACCTCCCGCAGTATAACTATCATAGAAACTGAACTTGGTAAATTGCAATCCGGCTTAACTGCAGTCTAGGGGGAACCATATCCGGGTGACCTCTCTCAACTTGAAACAACCTTCTTGCTTGCTTTACCTGTTTGCTTGTTTGAACCTGCACTAAAGTGCCACCGCTAAATAATAAAAATTCGCTGAGTAGTCATCACATCTAGGACTCGGGTTGACATTAAAACCCAAACCCGCTATACTACGCTTTAGGAAGTGGTTACACTTGGCCATTTTCTAGAGTGACAGTAGGAGTGAGTCAATTATAATCAAGCAATATCACAATCCAAACGTAATTACAATCAAGATTCCTAATACATGGAACTAGGGTTCTTCATACCCAAGTGAGAGAGAGAGTTCTACTCCATAGAGAGAGAGAGAGGGAAACAGAATACAAAGCAGTCATACTGATAACAATGGGAAGAATCTGCTCTGGGATGTCAATCTTCACTCCTATGATAATCTCCAAGCTCGATTGATGAAACCCAGCTCCAAAATCACTTCTAGGATGTGTTCTTCGTACTTTCTCTCTCTAGGGCTCTGTTTTTGCTCCAAAAAGTCAATTCTCTCTCCTTTGGCTAGAATTTGAGTTAAAACCCAGAAATTCCCGACCACACGGGTAGGTCACACGGCCGTGTGGCTTTCCCAGCTGCCCGTGTGAGTGTGCAAAACGCCGCGTTTCACTTAAGTGGCTTCAGGTATGCTACACGGCCAAAACCACACGGCCGTGTGGATTTCCAGGCTGCCCGTGTGAGCTCCCTGGACTTTCCACACTGCCACAAGGGGTCCCCTACATGGCCAGTGTGGCTTGCCCGTGTAAAATTGTGCCACACGGCCAAGTCACACGGCCGTGTGGGATTTTAGGCGCGCCCGTGTGGCTTTCCAAACTTCTCGCCAAACGTCCAATCTTCGTCCAATCGACCCAGAACTCTTTCCCAAACCTTCATTCACGTACTAGGACCTGAAATATCACAAACAAGAACAACCTAGCATGAAATCGACCTAAAACACGAGAAATAAGACTCAAAGGGTACAAGAATGGTGGACAAAAACATGTGTATATATCAAGTCATCAGTAGGTCACATTAAATTATGTAAGTGATAAAGAATGGATGGAAAGCGACCAACGCAAGGGCAATGATGGTGGACCACATTAGATTATTTGCAGAGCAAAGAAGGGGTGGACAGCGGCAACCGCTCGCATTTACTAGGCGGCTAGGGAAGAACCAAAGCAAGGGCAATGGTGGTAGATCACATTACGGAGTAAAGAGGAACATTCAAGGGCAAACAGGGCGGTCTCCATAATTGAGTATCGAGACACTAACTGGAAAATCTTCGCCTCTTGGGCGGCCAAGGGCAAGATATAGGTAGCGGTTACGGGGAGGACCGCTCAACTATCATTGGCAAAGTAGGAAGCCGCCAAAACCCGTAGCTTTTCAAGACTAAAGGGCAATTGTTGAGCCCATAGTTGAGTTGGTGTTGGGCTTAGGGCCCAAAAGGAGCCAGCCAGGCAAGGCCCGAAGGAAGGACCCAGGCGAGGCCCAGCGGAAGGTCCAATGAAGGAGCGGGTATAGGGAAAAGAGAATGGTAGGCGTCCACTCTAGGATGGGACAAGGAGTAGGCCGTCTGACATAAAGTACTGTTGGTGGCAGGAAGAGAAGATCTTCCTAGGATACTCACCTCGAACACTGCAAGACTGAGCATTAATTGCCCGTCGTAGGCAGTCTAGATAAAGTAGGGTGTCTAGGGCGTCTGACATGATATTTAATGCCCCAAACCCAACCTAACTCACTATAAATACCTTCATGTCCGCATTGATGGTAACTCAACTACTTCCTCTCTCTTAACATAACATAAATTCTCTCTTCTCTCTCTAACTTAAGCATTGGAGAGTGTCCTCGGTGACCGCCCACGGACCCTTGTTTTGCAGGGATCTGGAGTACACCCACCCTCTGGAACAAGCGCCTTGCTCGTTCTTCATAAACTGCCTAGGACATTCTAGGCTTAAACAGTTAGCACGAATAAGTTTCTAGTATTTTTTTTTTTTTGTCCAATTTGTCTCATCCTTGAATTGTAGTACTAATCACATCATTATCAATCAAGATTATGCTATCTTTAGAATAAATTGCATATTAAGTTAGGAATATACACATGACTACATACAATACACTTATTATTATTATAAGAAAACCATTCAATCTTTCGTTGCACAGTTTTGAGGTGATAGCACAAGCGGTAGCAAAAGAGAAAGCAAAGCCATGACTGATGACCGATGAGAGCACGCATAGCTAGGCGCTGGTGAAGAGAAAAGTTATTTCGATGCAAGACGCCGGACTCCTTTTAGTACAAAGCTCAGAAGAAAAAAGTAAAGAAAGAAGATAAATTTCTGATGAAGAAATTGCTGATTCCTTGAACAGTGGCAGACAGCAGGAAGAGAATCTAGCTAGTGACTGTATCATTAAACACCCACAGCAAAGCACAGTCAGAATCCCTCGTACGTCATTACCTCCCTTCATCATTACAGTTTCAGTTTTGGACAGATAATAATAATCGCCAACCCATTCGTCAGCTTAAGAAATCCCCAAAACCTAAATAGGGAAAGCAAAGAAAAAGCTCAGAAAACAGAGGAGAAGAGAGAAGAGGCAGAGAAAGAGAGAGTAAAAGCTTCGGAATAGGAAGGAAGGTTCGCTCAAAAATGATGATGGTGAGGAACAAGGTCTTCCCTCTGCTTGTCTACTTGCAATGTGTCTTCTTTCTCGGGGATTTCCACCTGGGTAATTATTATTTTCTCCTCATTCAATCTGGGTCTTCCGTTTCTCCTCTGTTTTCTCAATACTCTGTTTTTAACATGCTCTGTTTCTCCTTCAACACTACCGGTTCAATTAGCCACGACGGTGGAGACAGCGGAGAGGGTGGAGGCGGTGAACCCAGTGACGACGGCGCAGTACTCACCGCCGGAAGGAAACACGACGTTTCTCGACGGGACGACATGGTGCGTGGCGTCAGCAGGGGCATCGCAAATCGATCTGCAGAACGCGCTGGACTGGGCTTGCGGGCTGGGAATGGCGGAATGCAAGGAGATTCAGAAAGAAGGACCTTGCTTTGAGCCTAACAATCTTCTCTCCCACGCATCCTTCGCATTCAACAGCTATTACCAGCAGAATGGCAACTCCGACATCGCCTGCAACTTCGGCGGCACCGCCTCCCTCACCAAACACGACCCAAGTAAAAATGCCAACTTTTTCCCCTTATTGATCAATTAGAATGTTCTTCTTCTTGACTGAGTGTTGCTTTTTTTATCAAACGCAGGTTATGGGAAATGCTCGTATGCTTCAGCTGGGTATGTGTTTTTATAATTTGCCATGTTTGTTGAGCTCCGATTTAAGCTTTTAACGTGTATATGCCACTTATGGTGTTCCCCCCTGCATTTTCGTGTGGAGTAGGTCTGTTGGTTCTGGAGCGAATGCTCTGTTGAGACGAGAACTGGGTATATGGTGGAAGTTTGCTGGGATTGTGCTGCTTCTGTACTGGGGAAGCTGACCGTGAGTTGGTTTTGGAGCTAAGTTATTGGAGTTTATCGAAGGAGAAGGATTAGGAACTCAGGATGTTATTAGATTAATCTGTGTCTCTTGTTTCACAGCCCTGTCTGAATGTTTTCTGTAAAGTGAACTGGGGTGGCCAAAAGGAATGATTCCTATCTTGGAGTCCAGGTTAGGATTTGGAATGTGTAATCTTCTGTTTGAGAGACCAAATCCACAAGTCGTTTTGTCTCTCCACGAGTTAACATATCATACTCTAGAAAAAAGCAAAATGTCCACCTCTGCGGTGGGACTATTTATTTGCTTCGCAATTCATTTGCCACATAATTACTTTTTTATTTATTCATCACTAACTCTATGAATCATTTCACCATTAGTCACAGGCTGTTACACTCCGTTAAATTTGTTATACGTGACAGTCAACTATAAAGTTTGACCGTTAACTACATGAAGTAAAAATTAAAAAAAATTTAAAAATAAATTTATTTGTCTAGCTCATGATTCCACTTACTTTGTGTATATGATTTATCATATTACTTATTTAATAAAAATTAATTAAATTATAAAAATAAATAATATGATAATGCGTTTAGGGTTAATTACATGGTTGGTCATTGAGATTACAAAAAACGTTCAAGTTTGGTCACTCAAAATATTTAAATCCATTGGTGGTACTTCAGTTTACTGAAACCGTTTACGTTTAGACACTCTCCGTCCAACTCCGTTAACTTTTGCTTACGTGGCGGTCAACTCTAAAAGTTGGTCGTTAAATGTGTGACGTGGCAATTTAAAAATAATAAAATTAATTTTTTTAAAATTATCATCTCATTTCCACCTTATTATCACTTTTATTTAAAATAAATAAATAAACCAAATTTCTTCTAATACCCAATACCAATACCCCCGCCAGCAGCATATCCAACAATCTCCTCGCTCCTCTCCGCCACCATTCCTTCCCCTTCCAGCGAATCCTTTTCTCTTGGGAGAAAGTGAGACAATGGTTGGGGGGAAGCCCAACAATGGACGCGGAAATGGGAATGGATCCACTCTCCCTAGATCTCGAGACACTCCTTCGACTCCATCATCCCTCTTCTTAGCTATCTCTCTGTCTCTTTCATCTCGCCCTCCACTCCTCGAATCTTCTTCAATATCCCAATTCCAAATTTGCGCCATTTGAAGTAGAACAAATACAATTCTCTACGTCGTAAGTAGGGATTTCGAATGCGGTCGTCCGAAGTTTCTTCTCCTACCGGATCTTTCTGTCCGCCATGTTCACCCTTCTCTTCGTAGCTACGTTGTCTGCCATACTCACCACTCATCCATCCGCTTCTTCTCAGCTCCCCTCTATAAGTCACCAACCTTTCATCTTAATTCTTTCATTCATTCCCCCCCCCCCCCCCCCCCCCCCCCAATCCAGTTGCGGAGCCAGAAAATTGGTCAAGAGGGTGTCTTTTTCATATCATAAAAAATTAACTATATAATAAACAACTTGAACTCAAAATGAAATAACAAGTCAACAACACAATACTTAAAATTCATACAATTACAGAATAATAGTTTGACGTACACCGTTTACACCGAATTGCGAAGATATTTCATATTTTAAAGCATTCTAGAACTCATTTTTTGTCCAAACTAGCACACAAATCTTGTTCAATATATGTCATCAACGTGTCGTTCAACCACTAATCATTCATCTGGTTTAGAAAACAATGTTAGATATATTTCATTGACGTAGACAATATCTCAACACTTGTAATTGGCCGGATTGGAGACGACGTGGCTTGGACGATGCGGCAATGGAAATCCGGTGAACTATTGGCCAAAATTGGAGACTAAGGGGCTTGGATGAGGCAGAGGATGTCGACTCGTCCTCTCTGTTGTGGATATCAGTGGTAGTGGCAAAGCATATGAAATAAGAAACTATGGTCCTAGAGATTGTGGGACGTAAAAGGAGGTTTCAGGACAATTCTCTTTTTTTTCGGTTCACACTCTTGCCTTTCAGTTCACTTCAGGACAGTTCTCTAATATAATTAATAACGAAAGCAAGTTGCATAACAAATTTAATTGGCCAAGATGGCAAGGAAGTCTCCCTATAATCAAATGATTACTAGTTTGAGTCCACACAAATCCCTAATTGCTGAAATTTTTATCAAGCAAAGGGGGTGCAAGCACCCCACCTCCCCACACAGCTCCGCCACTGCCCCCATTATCCAATTATGTACGTTGTTGGTATTCAAATCAATAAAGATAAGGATTGTTGATCATTCAATTTTTGTTTCTGAAAATCGAATGAAACAGGATTACATATTAGAGCCCAACAATATGTAATCCTATGGGAAGGAAGCCCAACAATGAAAGCGGCAGCGACGGCGGGGTATGTTGCCGGCGGGGGTATTGGTATTGGGTATTAGATTTTATTTTATTTTTTTGAAAGGGGTTGTTTATTAAGAAAGCGATTGGGCCAAGCCCGGATGGAAAAGTACAAGCAAAAATACATAGATGGATAAAAAAACAAAAACAAAAAGGTCCAGAGATACAAGTGGGCCGACACCCAATAGGGCCCAGACCCAGACCCAAATATGTGTAGCTCTCCTAACCCTAGTTGTGCATCGACCTCCTTCAGCAACATCCACCGTCGCGGCTGAAAACAACCTCCGCGAAAAGACAACCAGCGACGCCGCCGCCATGCGCCAGACCACGGAACCGCTTCCACCAAACCCGAAGAGGATTCTCCCACCATCCAACTCCAAGCCAATCGTCTCCGCCTCCTTTAAAACGACACAAAGGACCACATCGGACGACCGGTCGGCGGTGAAAGCTCCAGAGGGAAAAAGACTTCTGGCTTCAAGCTCTCCACTCCGGGTCTGACGCCATGAGCTACATCTCCGGAACAACAAGAACTGCATGTTGAGACAAAGAGGTAGACAAGAGAGAGGGGAGGAGAAGACAAGTTAGATCTGGAACAGATCAGGCCTCCATAGCTTCTTAGAATCGACATCATCTCCAGATCTGGATCACACAGATCAGAGGGCAAAAAACTCAACCCAATAGAGGGGAGGAAGAGAACCAACAAAGGAGCACAAACACCCAAAACAAGGGCTGCACTACAAGAAAAACAGCCTATAGAGACAAATAATTAGAGGCAATTGTTGTAGTGGTCTCTATAGCTAAACTTTAAGAGCAAATATATTATTTGTCTCAGTAGGTAAAATTATTTGTCTCTACAGGCAAATCTAATAGTCTTTAGAGACAAATACAAATGTTGCTTATAGTTATGTCATACAGAGACAAATTTAATAGTCTGCAAATATAAATGCTCCTTATACATATATCATATAGATGCAAATCTAATAGTATTTAGAGACAAATACAAATGTCTCTTATAATTATGTCATATGGAGACAAATCTAATAATCTTTAGAGACAAATACATATGTCACTTATAATTATATCATATGAAGACAATTTTAATAGTCTTTAGAGACAAATATAAAGGTTACTTATACCCATTTCATATATTTGCTATTTAGAGACAAATATAAATGTTTCTTATACATATATCATATATATACATTCTAAGTAAAAATATTCAACTCAATGTAGCAGCCGTCGTTTCATCTTCTTTTGCTCGGATCCAGATCAGCCAAGATATTTAATAAATTTTAGAGATAATGATAAATGGTTTTGCAAGAGATAGGGGCTCTAATATAGTTTTTTCCCCCATAAAATGAAGAGATAAAAGCTGCAAGTTGCAACCTAGCCTCTCTCCACCTTATCGCCTCCTCACCTCCCGCCCCGTCCTTTCCCCTCTCATCTTCTTCCCGGCCTCAAAACCTAACGAACAAAAGGAGAAAAATCAGAATCCAAAATCCTCCTCCTCCTTCTGCCTTCTCTTGTTCTATGTTTCAGTTCTCTTGTCTCTTCCGGAACGAGGATCAAGCGGAAAGAAGAAAAAGATGACCCAGGTTCTTTCTTCACTATCTTCCATTGCCGTCCAGACGTCCACCAGACCCGATCAGAGAGTATGTCATGCAAGCTTATTTTCTTTTGATTTGATTTGCTTTTAATTTCTTTTGATTTTGATTATTCTTGTTTTCGCTGTCACTTATATGGATTTTGGTTTCAGACGAGGGTAAAGAGGCGTCGCCAGACACTTTGGATTTCGCAGACGGCGGGGATACCAACTCACTGACGAGTTTTCGTATTGCTTTCTGGGTTTGTATATTGCATTTCCTGATTTTTTGGTTTTAATTGATTTTTTTGTGGTGGTCATATTGTAATTTACCAAGTTCAGGTTCAATGATAGTTATACTGCGGGAGATTCTTAAATAGCCTGAAGTCTCGACTAAAGGTCTCCAGACCCTCTCAATCTGAGTCTCCAGCGGGCAACTAACCTCCACCGGTGTAAACAGATTGAGGCCCTAACGAACCAAACCTCCACTACCGAAGTAAATTCGGTACAGAATAGTGAATAGACTCCTCGACTAAAGTCGCCAATTCACTACCTTTAATCAAGGGTGCTCTATCAACCTAGGCGGATATTCTCTTTCTCAGTTAAAGCAGAAACAACAGGAATTTGATCAGGATTCATGCCATTCAAAAAATCAAACCTCAATTGAACATAATCATACCACTGAATATGTACTTGGGTTCATACAATCAGACCTAACATACAAATCTATGGTTCTTCATACCCAGGTGAATAAGAAAGTTACTCCAAAGAGAGAGATGGGAAATCTAGCTCAGATGCGGAAACCATACTGTGAAGGATGATAATCTGCTTCTGGCACTCAATCAGCTCTTCTCCAAGCTCAAGCCGCGCTCCAATGGTGATGGAGATCGATCAAGGACACTTGCAGAATCAGGTTCGTCACTTTCTCTCTCTAGGTATCGCTTTTTTTTCTCTAAAACTCGAAACCCTTCACTTTTGCCCTTCTTTTCCCTTAAGAAGCTGTCTGTCGTGATCCCCGACCTGAATACCTGGTCGGGTATTTTGGGTAGCGACCGGGTATTATCAAAACGCACCGTCGGGGAACAGGGGAAAATCCCCGGTCAAGGCCAAGAATTCCGACCGGTGATTTCTGCTCACTGCCCGGGCCCCCTTCTGCTTCTCAGAGACGCCCGAAACATAAAATCCTCGGTCTGCTCCAGATAATACCCAGCCGGGTATTTCTGCTCATGGTCGGGTATTTTGCTCTTCCAGCACACTTCACCCCAAACGTGCTCCTTTCGACCCGAAACTCGTTTCTTCGCCTCGATGCCAACGCTAAGCCCTGAAATATGACATAAACGCACAACCTAGCATGAAATCGGCTTAAAACACGAGAATCAACATCTCAAACGGCTCAAGAATAGGGGTAAAAACATGTGTAATCAATGGTCTATCAGTGCTATGTAAAAAGAACTTGTCAATTGTTAACATTGTGTACCAATTCCAATAATTTTTGTTCGCCCATATGAATTCTCGGCTAGTTGTACATGATGGTAATGCTTGTTTTCTCCCATCCGATCTAGGAAAGCATCCACATTGCCTGCGGGATTACATGTAATGGTATCGTTAAACGAGAGAGTTAGTTCGATCTAGTGTCGCTCTATCCAGAGAGTAATGAGTGATGTGAATTGTGTGGTTCACTCGACGAGGGGAGAGTTGAGTCGGCTCACGAGACAAATTGAGGAATGGTGCTTGGGATGGGTTAGTTGAACTCAATCGAACATAAGTAAAATGCACTTAAACACACTCAAATTTGGGAGCACTCAATTAGACACACTCAAACATACATGAAAACTACTCACATTTGGCTTCTGTCCAAAGACGCTCAATTGAACATTTCTTCACCCTTTTATGTTCACCACCGTCATGAATTGATTCATGTATTTGTTAAAACGAAACGATAGATCAATAATGTAAGGAAGTGAAGAACACACAGATTTATGTGGTTCAATAACACGACTCGTTAATCCATGGGCAAAAGAGACAAGTTTCACTATACTTGAGGATAATACATATTAGAGAGGGGTTGAGAAGGTATATATGGCACCTTCTCCCTACGTCTTAACCCTAATCCAACATAGAAAGGAAAAGAACACACATGTATGTATAACATCTTCTCTAGTGAGACCGTGCAACTTGTAGTCGATCACACATAATAAGACTTCGAGTTATTAGCAACAATATTGTTGCAGTGTTGGTTTGTTTCGATTCAAGTTCGTCTTGACACATTCATAATCAATATCGCCACACTTCTCATGAAACTCACTATGTTGTTCATCCTCAACTATCATATTATGTAACATAATGCAAGTTAACATTATATTCGTCTCTGTGTCTTTATTGTATCCTTCTTTAGAAAGATAAAGATTAGTACGCTTCAATCAAATTTACAATTGTCTTTACCATATTGGACAATGAAAGATAGATAACATCTATTATATAATAAGATGTATTATATCATTTGTGATTTATCTTAAACATTAGTTGTAGTATTGAACCATTCACAATATGATCCAATACTGGGGATTGATCAAGAATGTTGACATCATTCATAGAACATGTAGTCATAAAGTAGGCATGCCATATCCTAGTGTTGTACAACCTAGAACCGCTTCAAAGACCACCATTTGTCGATGGACGTGGCCAATATATTTGCATGCCCAATGCATGCATTCGATTGACCCCGTTATCCGAAAAATCAACATTGAGCGGCTTTCTTTAGGAGTTCATCCAAATCTTCATCTGTTGGTTCGCGAAGGTATATGGGTTCATGAACATGGACGATTGCATTGCGTAATTTACACAAATTCACCAACGCGTTAGTCTCACCAATATGAAAGTATTCATCGAGAGAATCAATTGTGGACTCCGAAACTAGCATATATAAAGCAGCCGTGAACTTAACTCTAGGTGATACAAAACTGTTACCAACAACATCAACTCTTTTTGTAAATGTTGAGTCAACCTCCAACACACCCCCAATAATGCGATGAAACGATGCCTGATACCCATGAAAATGCCATGTGAAGATTTTATCTTCGTATTTTGGCCTCCTTCAATTTTGATCAAGGTAATCATCCTTCAAGCGTTGATGGGAAATTTATCTATGGTGTCTGGTCAAGCCTCGATGGCCAACTTACCGAGGAAGTGATATGCATTTTTTATATACAAAAATGAGCTAGACCTAGATAGTAAAGGAATGGTGTGAGTTGTTTCAAGAACTAATAGTGTAAGTTTTATTCTCATGGTTCAAATGATGAATGTTGGTAATCGATATATTCTTCACTTTGTTCTAAAGATCGTGAGTTCCCATTTATGGAAAATTGATTTTCGAAGTTTTTTCTACTTCAAAGTTCTTTTTGGTTGTACAAGAAAACTGCAAAAGATACTCCATTTATCTACTATTTGATCATACTTTGCGAGCTTATCAAATTATTTTGTGTTTATGACCAGTGATCTTACACTATAAGACAAAGATAGTTATTGGAAGTCTATAATGTTATTTTTAAAGAGTGCGCAATGATTGCAGACTGAGCAATGATTACTAGCAGCATGATTTCGATATCGATACCATTGTCTAGGTACCACTGTACCAGTAACATGAATTTTGTACCGGTACAACTAAAACGGTACCAGTAAATGGTTATGTAGGTAAAATAACTAGGGTGAAGTTACTAAATTTTCACACTCAAACACCAACCCAATTGTGCCAATGTAGGCAACAGTATTTTGTCCTAGATCAAATTAAAGACAACAAATACCATAAAATTTTGTTCATACTTGGAAACCTACATGAAGTAATGATTCTACTACTACTGTGACACCTGAGTATATCCACGGAATAGTGCCTCGTGCATATCAATAGCTTTAGCAAACAAACTTACTCTTACGAGTACCACTACTAGTAGTTACTGCCTACTTGTTCGTGTGCCACTGCTAGTGACTGGTACATGTACCGGTAACTAGTAATGCTACAAGTACCATTACTAGTTATTGGTACAAGTACCACTACTAGTTACTTGTTCATATACCAGTAACTAGTAATGATACAAGTACCGCTACTAGTTACTGGTTCATGTACCACTACTAGTTTCTTGCACATGTACCACCATTAGTTAATGGTACATGTACTGGTAATTACTGGTACATATACCAGTACTAGTAGTTGTACAAGTACCACTGCTAGTCACAGAATACTTATGGGGAAAATTAGTGTTGGGTGTAATGGAAAATGCCAATGGAACACAAAACCAAATGTACTACTGCAAGCTGCAACTACTTTGTCCAATATAATTGGTTTACATTAAAAAAGCAATAGACAATTATCATACGACTCAAGCTTTGTTCATAATCCAAAACGTACATAAACAATCATACTCCTCAACCTTTTTCAGTATAGCCTTCCTCTCTTCCGAAATGCTAGATTCCAGAATTTCAATGTTTGAATTCTGGCTGCACTTCTCCCGAATTGGCTTGAACTTGCATCAACTTTTTGCTTCTTCTTCTTCTTCTTCTTCTTCTTCTTCTTCTTCTTCTTCTTCTTCACATAGGGACACTCCGTTATCACCTCACGTGGCCATTTTTTACTAGGGACCAGACCTGAATAGGATGACTCTACTTCACATATGATAACCTGCCGAGATTCATAGGTAGCAGGTTTTTTTGTTGCAAGTTGTTTTTTTGTCGTCGTTGTGTAGTTCTCACCATTCCTGGTACAAAAAAAAAACTACATTGTTATACAGATTTAATTATAACTTACTATGCTACCACTATAAACCATTCAATAGTGCTATAAAAACTACCACTAAGGACTAATACCAACTTCAACTACCACTACCACTACCACTACCAGTAACAACAACTTCGACTACCACTACCAGTAACAATTCATTGTTTTAAACTTACTGCTGCCAGACCAAAATTCACTGGTACACAAATATCAGTGCTACCACTAATATACTACCACTGCAACTGGTACAAGCGAGTGGTATCCTCCTGTTAAACTACCACTACTGCTAATACTAGTGGTATCATTCAATTAAACTACCACTATCATGCTACAAATAAAAATAGTATAATTGCCGCAACTACCACTAAAACTGGTACCAATAGTGTTGCATTTTGTAGTGATAGCAAAGCTACCAATTCAAAGTACCACTCAATTATACAAAAACCAAATCGTACAAGCAACACAAGAAAGAGAGGATTGCATGATTATACCTCGCATGTGATGGTTAGCATGGCAACAAGAAGGGACGACGACGGTGACGGTTGCTGGATTTTTTGGGAGACGATGGAGGGGGGAATGGTTTTTGGGCAAACGAACACCAAGACTTTGCACTTAACACGGGTCCGGGTGAGACGATGGAGGAAACGCCGAGAAAATTGATCGGAGATGGTGGAAGGGAATGTTTTTGGGAGAAGACGGAGAAAAAGGGTTTGGGGGAGACGAATCGTTCTGCGGGGAGGGTGGCTGATTTCTCTCCCCCATCGAATTCTTTCCCTTTTCAAAACCTGGCTGACGTCAACGGATTAGTGGGCATGCGGATCCGGTGTGGGCACTCTCTTTTTTGCCCTTGGCCATCATCAACCGTCAGATTGTGAGGAAGGGGGACGGACGGCTACTAAAGGGGAAGCGAAATTGACAACCCCTTAGGGGTTGTCACGGTATCCAGTCCCTATCTTCAAAGATCATTAACGATTTTTTGGGTGAAATTTATAGTTGTATTTTGATAGTTACATTGATGAAAATATTACTTGGAACGAAATGAGTGATGTTTATCTGACCGTTCATTCCTCCATATTAAACAGATAACGACGTGGAGCTTGCATTTGCGTACGATGGACCAAAACATCAATCGATTCCACTGGGGTCCACATAATAACGGAAGTAGCTTACAACTACCCATCTCGATACAAACACACTTCTAGCTTTAGCGCCGTTTCAAGGACGGGCGCGTCTGCATACTCGCCTTCCTCCATTCGTCCCTTTCTAGCAGCTCACTCGTCGTCCCCCACTTGATAGAAAAGCCCAGAAGGTAGAAAGAGCAAACCTTCTTCAGAACCGCACCGGCCGAGCGGCGCCGAGAGGGAAAGAGAGAACAGTCGAACCAAGGTATAGGGCTTTTGGGACAGAGAAGGATCTCTCAAGCTGCCGGGAAAGATGAGCGTATGGAACTACGTGGTGACGGCTCACAAGCCCACCAATGTCACCCACTCCTGTGTCGGCAATTTCACCAGCCCACAGGAGCTCAATCTCATTACAGCGTAACTTCCGCTCCTCACTCCTTATTCGTATTCGTTTTCCCTTCTCTTGTAGATACCTCGGTTGTCTTCTGCCCTTTTGGCCCGATTGAGAGGGCGGTTTGTTTAGGGTTCTTGTTTCGACACCCGTTTATTTTTCCTGTTCGCTCCAATGGGTATAATTTGATACTTGGAAAGTTATAAGCTTTAGTGCACTGTACTTGGTGTGAGCTCCTCACGTGCCTTGGAAAATAGGGGCTTCTTTGATGGTCAATCATATGAAAGAAAAGTATTTTGCAGCTTACATGTGCTTTGGATTTTTATGTTGAGCAGTCAAATGAATGTGTTTGGTGTAAATTTGATGCCTTTTTTGGGGTTTACTTCTAGTTCGGTGTTGATATTCTAATTGATGGAAAGACATTATCAAGGGTTCTGAAATTTTATTGTGCTGGACTCTTGTGCATTAGCTGTTGTCTTACGATATTTGATGCTGGTTTCCAGGAAATGTACGCGTATCGAAATCCATCTCCTTACTCCGCAGGGATTGCAGGTAATTGCCCTGTTCTGGTAGTGCTGGTGTGTGATCAATCATGTTTTAGTAAATTTATCGAGTTTCATGTCACCCTTGCAGCCTATGTTGGATGTCCCTATTTATGGAAGAATTGCCACTCTTGAGCTTTTCCGTCCTCATGTGAGTATCTTGAGCTTTACATCCCAGAGGTCTTATCAGAGTAATTCCGCGGTTTATTGCTTTTTCTCATTCATTTTACGTTTGCACAATCAACAGGGTGAAGCGCAGGACTTTCTGTTCATTGCCACAGAAAGATACAAATTCTGCGTTCTTCAGTGGGATGTGGAAGCATCAGAGCTAATTACAAGGTTAGACATAAAAGCACTCATACCTATTCGTGTGATGTTTGACTTGCTCTTCAGCTTCTGATGAAGCTTCAGTTTTCCAAACATTCTGTGTATTCTTTCTTACATCAGTTGTCTTGTTCTATTTTGTAGAGCAATGGGGGATGTGTCTGATCGAATAGGCCGTCCAACAGACAATGCTCAGGTAACAATTACATCCTCAAGCCCTTGCACTGGGAAGAAGCTTGTTTATTTAACAATGTCATCATGTGAGTGCATGCAATTTTCTTGGGGATGTAGCCTACAGCAGCATCTTGGTCGTTGGAGCAAGAAATACATGATTGCTTCATTTATTAATACAGATCCCAGACATCCATGTCTTAAAGAACTTGGCATTGTCAATTGTAATATTTAGCAGCATCTATCTTACTGGTCTTATTTCTCTCCATCCTCTGCCTGCAGATTGGAATAATTGATCCTGATTGTCGGTTAATCGGCCTACATTTATATGACGGACTGTTTAAGGTATATACTTGTTTAATTGCAATTTTATTAGACCGCCTTCAGATTTTTTGTGTCAAGAGTTTACTTTATTCCACATTGTGTTTTTCGTTTCATACTTTTAGGTTTTTCATTGTTCTTATACGTCACGATCATGATTCCTGTGTCAGGTTATTCCTTTTGACAACAAAGGCCAGCTGAAAGAAGCTTTCAACATAAGGTACATGGTTTTGTCTATAACAATTCAATTTCAACATGTCAGTTTGCACGAAAAAGTTAACCCTCAGACACATATTTATGTGGTACTGAGTTGGATTCACAAAAATTGACATTGTCATGTTAGTTGTAGCACTTTAGCTGGCATTTTAATCTGGAAGTTGGCAGAGCTTTCCCGTGACCAGAAATCTGAAATCTGTTTTTGTAATTGATTCTTAATTCCTTCCCCTTCCCTCTAGCTCACGTGTTCAATAAACTTTTGTGGGCTCTAATTTTCAGGCTCGAGGAGCTTCAAGTTTTGGATATCAAGTTTCTCTATGGTTGTGCCAAGCCTACGATTGTTGTTCTGTATCAGGTCCCTAAATTCCCTCTCATCTGTTTGCTCCTTCAGGTTCTGTTGAATGTAGGTTGTTATCTAATGAGTTAAGAGAAGTTTGTGTACTATCATTGTAATGGCTCTCACCGTTTCTTGTTGTGTTCTTAAATGGAAAGCCTGTTACCTTCTTCGTTATTACGTTATGACTTTTCACCTTATAGGAAACTGATGTAAAATTAAATCATTTTCTTGTCTAGAACTTGGAATCACTTACTCTGTTGTATTGGTAATGTCAGGATAATAAAGATGCTCGTCATGTTAAGACATACGAGGTTGCTCTGAAGGATAAAGATTTTGTCGAGGGCCCATGGTCCCAGAACAATCTAGATAATGGAGCTGATTTGTTGATTCCGGTCCCTCCACCGCTTTGTGGTGTACTCATCATTGGAGAAGAGACAATTGTATATTGCAGTGCAAATGCCTTCAAAGCTATTCCTATCCGACCGGTGCGTTGCTGCTTGCAAATTTTCTCATAAACATCTTCTAATATTACAAAGAAATTTGTTTCCACTTTGCTTTGTAATTCGTGAATGTGTTCTTACCTCACATATTATAAGTTTTAGGCAATTACGAAAGCATATGGGAGAGTTGATGCTGATGGTTCTAGATATCTACTTGGAGATCATGCTGGCCTTCTGAATCTCCTTGTTATAACTCATGAGAAAGAGAAGTGAGTCATTTATTTCTTGATACACATTGTTCCTTCACACCTTATTGATAAGGGAAGATTAAGAACTATTAGCTCATCATATTCTTAACGGAAAAGTCCCCTGATTGTCTGTATTGTTGTTTAGGGTCACTGGGCTCAAGATTGAGCTCTTGGGGGAGACTTCTATCCCATCAACCATATCATATCTGGATAACGCATTTGTCTTCATTGGTTCTAGCTTTGGAGATTCACAGGTGTGTTTAATGATTCCTGGTGCTATTTGAATAATGATTCCTTGTATTATATTCTGGTATCTCTCCATGCACATCCCTCTTAATAAATTTAAGCAGCATTTGGCACATGTATGTGAGCATGTCAGGGAATTGAGATGAAAGCCCCTCTTCCTCCCAACACTTTCTTTTGATAACTTGAAGTAATTTTTGTTTGACATTTCCTGTCAAGATTTGGGATATGTAAAATCTGTGTCAGCAACCTGAGGTACTGACCATCTACAGTGGTGTCGATGCAGCTTATAAAGCTCAACCTACAACCTGATGCCAAAGGTTCATATGTGGAGGTCCTGGAAAGGTATGTCAACCTAGGACCCATAGTTGACTTCTGCGTGGTGGACCTGGAGAGGCAAGGGCAGGGTCAAGTTGTAACATGTTCTGGAGCTTATAAGGATGGTTCGCTCCGTATCGTTAGAAACGGAATAGGAATTAATGAACAGGTTTGATTTTGATTGCCACTCTTTCTCCAATCTTGCCTTGTGCAATTATTCTTTGCAAGACTAACAGAATATTCAATGTCTGTAACTCAGGCTTCTGTGGAGCTTCAAGGTATCAAAGGAATGTGGTCTTTGAGATCTTCCACTGATGATCCGTTTGACACCTTCCTTGTTGTCAGTTTCATCAGTGAGACCAGAGTTTTGGCAATGAACCTTGAGGATGAGTTGGAAGAAACTGAGATAGAAGGTTTCTATTCACAAGTACAGACTTTATTCTGTCACTATGCAGTCCACAATCAGCTTGTGCAGGTGGGTTACACTTTCTTCCTTGAATTTTTTCCACACTTGTTTGTGAATGTGTTTTAATCTTATTTAATAAGAGAAGTGTAGCATCCTATATATCTGACAGTACCAAGATTATGTGTGTTTGTTTTAGCTTTTGCTACACTTGTTGAAGGAAAATGAGTTCAGTAAATGTTGAGAAAAAGTTGATGAAATATGATAGTAATGGAAAAGTAATTCACTCATAATTGATGGTTTATTTTTCTAATAAAGAAAATAGTGGATTTTTGAAATGACTAGTCGGTGTCTAACTTCAAGACTACATTCTTATTGCTTAAGAGAAAGGTTGGGAGTGAATTTTTTTTTAGTGATGTGGCTTTTAGATTTTAATAATTTGTGGGTTCCATCAGAAGTGTGTTCAGCTTTCAAGTCCATTTGTTTTTTTTTTTTTGGGTAATTTCTTAAGCTAAAATAGAGACGGCCTGTGATTACGGATGTGTTGACTCCGGATGCTTGTAAATCTTGCTGACAGGTCACTTCAAGCTCAGTCCGACTAGTGAGTTCCACAACACGAGAGCTTCGGAATGAGTGGAATGCCCCATCAGGCTATTCAATCAATGTTGCTACTGCTAATGCGAGCCAGGTGGGATGATCCTATACTATTGTAAATATGTTTGCCACAATCTGTGTGTATTCATCATTTTCTCCACAATGAGTAGCATTGTAGAATAAACTTAGTTATCTTTCACTTGTTGCAATGCCAGGTATTGTTGGCAACTGGTGGTGGCAACCTAGTTTACTTGGAAATTGGTGATGGGGTGTTGACTGAGGTGAAGCACACACAGCTAGAATATGAGATTTCATGCCTTGATATTAATCCCATTGGCGATAATCTGAATCACAGCCAATTGGCTGCAGTTGGAATGTGGACGGATATAAGTGTGAGGATATTTTCACTGCCTGACCTAAATCTTGTAACAAAAGAGCATTTGGGAGGAGAAATAATACCTCGGTCGGTTCTTCTCTGTTCCTTTGAAGGGGTATGTCTGCTCTCTACTATTTCCTTATTTGTGATGAATTCTGATTCATCTCATTTCTTTCAAGATTGTATGTCATTATGTATTCACTGGGAACCATTTTGCTTCCATAAAATTGGAAAACATAAATCAGAAATGCCATTTATCAATTTTGATGTCTAGTACCAAACCCATCACATCACCTCTATGCAACATGTGATCTCCATACTGCTACGCTCTGGGTATTGCCTGTGATCCTATTAATGTAGCATTTGCACTCTTGCCAAACATCTAATGCTTCTTTGAAATTTTGATATCACCATTTCAGATATCTTACTTGTTATGTGCGCTTGGAGATGGTCATCTCTTAAACTTCCAATTGAACTTGATGAGCGGAGAATTGACGGATAGAAAAAAGGTGTCCTTGGGAACTCAGCCTATAACACTACGAACTTTCTCATCAAAGAATGCAACACACGTGTTTGCTGCATCAGATAGGCCAACAGTCATTTACAGCAGTAACAAGAAACTACTCTACAGCAACGTAAACTTGAAAGAAGTCAGTCATATGTGTCCTTTTAACTCTGCTGCTTTTCCAGACAGGTATATCTTCTTTTTTGTTTCCTTTGCTAAAAATCCATTCATATGCTGCCCTTCCCTTCTCTTTGTATCTCTATTGGCTTGAACACAGTAGTATTTGAAGCTGATAGTAAGGAATAGGTATAGGTGATGATACCAAGAGACTTGAATTTTCTAGATTAGTGGTATACATGGTTTTACATCTTGGGATTTGCTTTGGCAGTCTGGCTATTGCAAAAGAGGGCGAGCTTACTATCGGTACTATAGATGAGATCCAAAAGCTTCACATTCGGTCAATTCCACTGGGGGAACATGCAAGGAGAATCTGCCATCAAGAACAGTCTCGAACGTTTGCCATTTGTAGTTTAAAACACCAAACTAGTGCAGAAGAGTCAGAGACACACTTTGTCCGTTTGTTAGATGATCAAACCTTTGAGTTTTTATCCGCTTACCAACTGGATCCATTTGAGTATGGATGTTCCTTGCTGAGCTGCTCCTTCTCAGATGACAGTAATGTGTACTATTGTGTCGGGACAGCATATGTTCTGCCAGAAGAAAATGAGCCTACGAAGGTACGCATTTCATTTGGGCTGTCAGCAATTAGAGAAGCAGGCAGGAGTTTCTGATTGTTTATCCGTTTATTTTTTCTGCTGGACCACACAGGGTAGGATACTGGTTTTCAGTATTGAAGATGGGAAGTTGCAGCTCATCACTGAGAAGGAGACTAAGGGGGCTGTTTATTCTTTGAATGCTTTCAATGGCAAATTACTGGCTGCCATAAATCAGAAAATCCAATTATACAAATGGATGCTAAGAGATGATGGCAGCCGTGAGTTGCAGTCAGAATGTGGACATCATGGGCACATACTCGCTCTCTATGTCCAAACTCGTGGAGATTTCATTGTAGTTGGTGATCTGATGAAGTCTATATCCTTGCTGATTTATAAGGTAACTGTCTACTGTTAATTGCTGCCTGCCATGTTTCTAGTACTCTTAACTGTGTGCATTGAAGTATTTAAGTAAATAGTTCTCTCCGCTCCCTGCCCTCTTCATTTTCACCAACTGCTCCTGCGAAAATTCCTGACAAGTTGGCTATTTTTATTTGTCTGTTTCTTCTAGCATGAGGAAGGTGCCATCGAGGAGCGAGCCCGGGACTATAATGCAAATTGGATGTCAGCAGTGGAGATTCTTGACGATGATATCTACATTGGTTCAGAGAACAACTACAACCTGTTCACCGTGCGGAAGAACAGCGAAGGTGCTACAGATGAGGAGAGAAGTCGTCTCGAGGTCATCGGAGAATATCATTTGGGAGAGTTTGTGAACCGGTTCAGGCATGGTTCCCTTGTTATGCGGCTGCCCGATTCAGACGTCGGCCAGATTCCAACGGTTATATTTGGCACCATCAATGGCGTGATCGGGGTTATCGCCTCGCTTCCTCATGACCAGTATCTGTTCTTGGAGAAGTTGCAGACAAATCTGAGGAAGGTGATAAAGGGTGTTGGAGGATTGAGCCACGAGCAGTGGAGATCGTTCAACAACGAGAAGAGAACTGCGGATGCTAAGAACTTTCTGGATGGCGATCTAATAGAGTCGTTCCTTGATCTCAGCCGGGTCAGGATGGATGAAATCTCCAAGGCCATGAGTGTCTCGGTGGAAGAGCTGTGCAAGAGAGTGGAAGAGCTTACAAGGCTTCATTGATTTGATGATGCATCCTCCATGGATGAGCTCATGATTCTGTTGTTTTTTTTTTTCTCCACCTCTGGTCCGTGGATGGGTTTGGGCAAGAGGATTGTGTTTTGATGATGTTAAACAGAGAAAAAAAGGGGAAAGAGTTCTTTCCATAACGTATATGGGCTTGGGCAAGAGGATTGTGTTTTGATTGCTTTTTCTTTTGTGGGGATTGTTGCTGTTTGTTTGTAACACAAGTTTCTAGATGTGTCGCCATGTTTCTATTTCTCTGCGTTGATTTGGCAGTGTCCGTGTGTTGCCATTTCACAGGTCACCTAGTTTGGAGCAAACTAGAACTAGTCTGATTTGTTTTCTACAAAATGGTTAGTTTTTGGTCGCCGGTGTACTGGTGTAGCAGTTAACTTTGATTCTATTCTCCAATCTCCATCACTTTCAGTTAGGTGGATCGTGAGGTAGGTATTTGGTGCACTTTTTTCATAATTATTCTTATTGATCGGTCGTTTGGATATACGAGATATTTTGTTATTTTGTTTAGAACGAGTCAATGTAACAAAATGACTTGTATGGCAAGTAAAAACAGATATTTTAGTGTCATAGTATCTTATTTGAGGCATTTCCAAGCGACACTTAAATTTTTACGATAATTTTTACTAAAGCATTCTTTTGGTCATGGTTGGTAATATATCAAAGTTTGCTCGAGGGAATGGAGGAGCAAACAAAGCAGCAATAAAGCTGGATATGACTTGCCAATCTGGACAGGGGTAAAGAGGCCTATTTGTTTGTAGTGTGGGTGTGTGAGTGTAAATTGGATAGGAGCTATTTGAATGGTTGAAATTCGTAATTCTCTTTTATTGGAATTGAAAATTTCATTCATAATTACCTGCATTCAAAGAAACGAACAATTATTTACTTTAAGGATATAGGTTGGATGTTGTGATTTCAAGCGATTGGATTAGTAAATACATGTAATGTCAAGATTAGAACATTTTATTGGTTAAATTTATGACAAATACATGTATTACGTTTTTCTGAGCCAATCAATAATCACTCAAAATAAGTGATTATCAATCTCTACCTAAAGGTGAGATTGTGACAATGGATTATCTATCCTCGTATTTTTTTTTTTCATTTATAACAAAGCACAATATAAACCTTCAAAACATACATTTTTTCAAATTCATACATTTTATCAACACATTAAATTACAATACACAAATTGATTAAATACTTCAATTTGGTGAAACAGGCCATTTTAGATAAACAGGGATAAATCATAAAAAGTAAAAGTAAGTAAGAAGCCAACAAAGCAAAAAAAAAAAAAAAAAGTTATTATTATTATTCCGGCCAAAGGCCGGGCTAGTCTTATTTGAGGCATTTCCAAGCGACACTTAAATTTTTACGACAATTTTGAAGTGTTTTCTTGTTTTAATAGTTTTTTTTCAACAGTCAATACATGTACCATCCAGACTATTGAAGTTGCGAGTGACAAAAAGGCTTCTTCACATCACAGTCATCACTTATGATTGGTATGAAGCATGGTTGTCATGTCGGTGGCATGCCACATGATTGAACCTGGTTCAACCTGTGCCGGTCATGAAATCGGCATGACACCATCGGTATGAGTGATTTACGTATTCTAAGCAAAATGACATCATTTTAATGAATTTAATTTATAAAAAAATTTATTTATTATTTATTTTATGAATTTAATAGTTAAAAGTTGATGATATTTGTTGGATTATGACTAAATTGTTCATAAATATGTTTTATATATGATTAAATGCATTGGATATTAATAATTTTCACACTTTTTTAAACCGGTATGAACCAGCACAAACTGGTTATACCATCGTCGTACCATTCCATTTGTCAAACCGCCACAACGGTATAAATCAGTTTGACAACCTTGGTCCGGAGATTGTCATTCTTATAGTTACTCAATATGATTTTAATGTATAATGGTTATTATTTATTTTTAACAAGACATTTAAAAACAACCCCGCATTCCAAGTAAATGTTTTTCAGGTTATCTTGATACACGCGAAAGAGCAAGCGGAAGAGGAGCAGATGCATGAGGTGAATGTGACGACTGACGTGGGCAACCATGGCCTATCACAAGATTTTTTTTATTGGGACGATAACTCTGAAAAGACAGATTCCCTATCTTTTCTTTCATCTCTAGCGAAATACGATGTGTGTGGGGGGGGGGGGGGGGGGGGGGGGAGGGCTAATTGCCGCTTGGTTACTCGGAATTCCCGATTATTTCATTTTCTGATGTTAGCAATGTATAGCGGTCAAATATGGGATAGATGGATTTTTAGAAACCCATCCTCCGAAGGAACCGGACATGATAATTTTTCACCATCCGGCTCGAGCAAGAATCAAACGAACCAAAAGGACATCGAAAAGGCAACAATTTTTTTTTGTTTTAACTCTACGACATAAGAAAGGTAGATTCAATTAAGCGAGATTCAGAAGCGAAAACTTCACCTCGACCGTCAATAGGTTTAGCTTTCAATTTGTGTTCTTTCAAATGTAAACTTTCCTATACTTGGTGTGATTAAATTATACTCTTCTTCAATGAACAAAAACTACAACTTCACCTCCATTAAAACATGACGTAGAACAATCGATTTACATTTATTACATAAAAGTTGAAGTAAACAAATCATTATTAATTTATATGTAATGATTGATCTGCCTGAGCCACCCCCACTACATTTAACTTAGCCACCCACCATGATTACATATATTAATCATTTGAATCTGAAGGTTTTCTGATTAAAGAGAGAATCTAGGCTGTCGATTTCCTTTTTGTTTTTGAAATGATTGAGAAAAGATTTGGTGGGCCAAAAAATGTGCATCCTTCTACTTTTCCATCCAACCCAAACTTTAGTTATTTTTTGATACCCAAAATTTTAAAAAAACATCCAAACTATATTTCAACAAGTTTTTATCTAATATAATAATTAGAAAAACTTTTAAACATATTATTACTAGAATTACTAACCAAATATTTTTCAATAAAATATATAAAATAGTAAAATTAGTAAACGAATATCAAGAAGAATAATAAATATACTAGAATATAATAATAAATATTTAAAATAAATATTATAATATCTATTTAAACCCACTAATTAAATTAGAAGCATCATTAGAAATAGTTAAAATAGTTTCACCAAAATGAAATAGTTAAAATAGAACCTAATAGATTATTAATACATCAAAATAAAAAAAAGATTAATGGAAGGTGGAACACAATCGGAAAGAATTAAACATATTTCACTAAATGAAAAAATTTAGAACGAAAAGAGATGAAAAGTAACCAAGTAATAAACAAAATATAAAAGCTACAACATTCGGTAAAAAATATAGAAAAGAAAACATGACTATAAAAGCTACAACATTGTTTAGTTACAACATTTATGTAATAATTCAATTATTAGAACACATAATGATAATTGAAAATAATTATAATGATTAATTCTAAAATTTCTATTCAAAAATTGGTTTGGTATTAAGTATTAATAAAGGATTCTAACTAAACAAAAAATGATATTTTTCATAAGTTCAAATGATTTTTTTACGAAAAGAAAAGTAGAAGGGTCAATTATGAAATTTAGAAAATGGAATATTCCAAAAATATTCTATCAATTTTAACGGAATGCACTTAACAGTATACTTAAGTGATACCGAGTGCACATATAATAAAATTTAGTGGTACCCGACGCCCTATTCAAGTTCAAGTGATATGCATATCTCAATTCTCAAACTTAAGTGGTAACCAACTTATTTTAGCCCATTGGCAGAGGATTCGGTCCTCTTTGTCGCTGATGGCCCACACACCCTACCCTATAGAGACCAAAAGGCTTTTCGTTTGGTTCATTCATTTTTTACTTTCTGAAACGATTCCTTTTGTCCATTTTCCAACTTATTTTCCCCAGTCAATTAAAAAAAAAAAAAATGGAATCGATTTGTAGTTTTGTACCAAAAAATAATTAAAAAAGGAAAGAAAAGCAGAGGAAGGATTCTTCTCAATCCGCATCGTCAGTGGTGACGACTCCTCTGCCTCTCGTTGCCAATTTCACAGTCTCATACTCTCAAACTCTCCGCACTACTTCCTTATTCCCTTCTTCTCCAGAGAAGAGCCGAGTGGTATCTCTCTCTGCAGTCGGGGCGGTGAACTGAGAAAGTAAGATATCCAAACCCCCAAGATTTTGGGGGCCTATCTCTCCATCTATCTTCATTTTTCTCCGCTCTTTATTGCTGTCCCTTTCCACGAACACTTTGGAGGTATACAATCGCTTTTCCCTTTTCTTCGTCTGACTTCCCCAGATGCTAGTAAAGCTGACGTTCGGTAAAGAGATCGGAAAAGCTGATTTCCGGGTTGTTGATTGGATCTTCCGCCTCTCGGTTCTTCATGTCGGATTTCCTTAGTTGTTATCGTCATTTTCTGTCCGCTCATTTTGTGTCATTGCGTTGTTATCCCGGCTCTGTTGACTTTTCCGGGTTACTTCCTTGATGGGTAGTTTATTATTTTTTCTCAACTCTTTCTGTTTGTAGTTTTAAGAATCAGGGTCGGCACTGAGTTGCTTTCTGTGCATTTTCTTATGTGAGTTTTATGTTTCTGGATCTTCTTTGAACGATGATTTTAAACGTGCTCTGTTTCGCTTCTTGTTCCCTGTTGGGTCGTGCTTTGTATTTTCATCTTCCTATCTTTTTCTTGTGTGGCTGGTAATTTGCTGCTGGAGCTCTAAACTTCGCTGTCTTTTCCTGCAAGAAAAGTACACTGGACAGTGACTCTGTCGTTTTCTCAAGTTTAAATGAAGTGGGTGCATTTAAGATGGACTCTATGGTGTGTATTTGTGGTGAATGGATGCACTGTATTTAAGCCAACAAACTAGGCAGATTGTTTTGCTAAAAGAAGTCAACTTCGCAAATTATGGAGTTCTCTTGTGAATCCTAGTAAAGTGTCGGGTGCTAAGTCCTTTTCCTGGTGTTGAATTCGAGGTTATTTGTGTTTGCAGATCTGCTTTCTGGGAATTATGTATTGAGTAGAACAACAGTTTTGAAGACCAGATTCAGGAAATATGGCTTTCGTGCCGTTGGACTGGTATTGCCGGCCGGTGCCGGGTGGGCTGTGGGGAAAGGTGGTGCGGAACGCCTTTGGTGCATACACGCCATGCGCGACAGATACTGTGGTGATGGTGTTTTCTAACTTGGTTCTGATGGGACTCTGCATCTACCGAATTTGGCTCAGCATGAAAGATTCCAAGGCTCAGCGCTACTGCTTGAAGTCACGGTGGTACAACTATCTCCTGGGTTTACTAGCTGCTTATGTTGCTGCTGAGCCTTTGTTCAGGCTTGTCATGGGAATTTCGGTCCTGGATATTGATGGACAGCCAGGTCTTGCTCCGTTTGAGGTCTGTGCCCCTTTCACATTATTTATTTGGCTTGCTTCAGTTTAGCTATGGAGACTACTTAGAGGTGGCTCCACTTTTTAGTGTTGTTTTGAATTCATCAGCTTTAATCTCGTTTAGTAAGTTGGTTATAATTGTAACCATCGAAAGTAAATAACATATGAGAGTTATGTAACCTGCAGTATTGAATTTGCTTTCATACCCAGCATTACAAAATCCTTTTTATTCTCAGGTTGTTTCCTTGATTGTTGAGGCGCTTGCTTGGTGCTCTGTGCTGGTCATGATTGGTTTGGAGACCAAGGTTTACATCCGGGAATTCAGATGGGTTGTCAGGTTTGGGGTCATTTATACCTTGGTTGCGGATGCTGTGATGCTCAATCTTGTTCTTGCTGTGAAGGATTATTCTGCAAGGTTCGTTTTTTTTACTTGAAAATAAGAGGTTTGCATAATCTGGCTATTTTAACGAGCACTTCTACTATGCTATATAGTATTGGTGCTTTAATGTACAACTTAAAGTTGTACCATAACATTAAATGTATAAGTTTAGGTTGTACCATTATGTTATGGTACAACTTTACAACTTGAGGTTGTACCATTATGTTATGGTACAAGTTCAAGTTGTACCATAAAAGAATTTGTACAAAAAGTATAGGTACAATATGAAGTTGTACCATAACGTAAATGTACAATTTTAAGTTGTACCATAAAGGCAAAACCCTATAGCACCAATACTATATAGCATTGTAAAATTTCTCCTATTTTAACTCGATATGTTATAATTAAAATGTTGTTGTTTACTTGTTTAGTACTTTCAAATATTATATCATGAGAACATGATTAGGAAAAAGCAAACTAAGTGTTGAATGTTCATTCTGCAGCTCTATACTCTATTTGTACATCAGCGAAGTTGTTGTCCAGGTATTCCTTTTGCCTTGTATCCGAGAGCCGTAAATCTCTGAAGTTTAGTAGTATGCTCTTAGGACCTTGGATATTCATCTTCAGTTTATTACTGAAATGGCAATCTATGATTAATGTTACAAAGTTATGCTTAGGTTCTCTTTGGAATACTTCTGCTCGTGTATTTCCCGGATACTGTTCCTTACCCTGGTTACACTCCTCTGCGAACTAATACTTTGGATGATACTGAATACGAAGAACTTCCTGAAGGGGAGTACATATGTCCGGAGCGTCACGTCAACATTTTTTCGAGTATGTATATTCCGACTTGAATGTCCTCACCATACTAGCAGATCATGAATTGTGAAGAGGGTTAAAGTTTAGAACTTATATTTAAACTCATCTAGGTCCGGTTGACAGCTAACAGCTTCTTTTGCTTAAGTTAGTGACCATTACAAATTAGCTAATCATTTATGTAACTATACATATTCATACACTGAATGATAAAAGCCCTTTATCTTTTTTGAGACTGCTCTGTATTTCTGCAACATTCTGGCTTACTAATGTTTGTTTGTACGACAGGCATTATATTTGCATGGATGAGTCCTCTCATGCAGCTTGGTTATAAAAGACCTATCACTGAGAAGGATGTCTGGAAATTGGATACGTGGGATCAAACTGAAACATTGAATGATAGGTGCGTGGTATGTTTGTGTTGTTTTGTGAATTCTGATGCTGTCACCCACCATGAACGTTGCGAGTTAGATACTCGGGATGCATATTTACTTCGATTTCTTTGTTTTTCCTATTGAAGTGATATTTGACTGTAATTTTGCAGGTTTCAGGAATGCTGGGCTGAGGAAACACGGAAGTCGAAGCCCTGGCTTTTAAGGGCATTAAACAGTAGCCTTGGGGGAAGGTGAAAATAACCAAAATTTTGAAATGCCATTATTTTGTGAAGAGTGTATCTATAGTTGTTTGGTCGTAGCTATTTTGTTTGTAACTTTAGAAGAAAGGATAGATAAGTAATATACAGAATGAAAACTTAGTAGTATAATTCTTCTGGTCGAAAAGGTCACTCATACAGTTTTTTCATGTGCTGAATAGTTGTCCGGTTTCTCTTGCTCTTGCCACTAATGGGGTTATTATAATACATGCAAAGCACCTTTGGTGTTGACTGAAAGTCAGGTTTGACCAGAAATTGGTGGCCATCAAATTGAGTAAAAATGGTTCTCATTGTGTGGCTATGACGAGTTTGCTACTAGTGTATAACTTGCCTAACCTAGTATCTGGCTGACTGATTTAGCACTTTCATTTACTTTATAGGAATAGGAATATCTGATCTCTTTTTTTGCTCCATAGCAGCTATCTGAGGGATGACCTCCACTAGGTAGTTGACATAGAAGTCATGGAAGCTATAGTATCATTTGCACATGTTTAGGCATCGCTCACTGGCTCACTGAGGGTTGAACAATGCACTGACACCATAGGAATATATCTGATGCATTTATGACTTATGTATTCCGTTCTCTCACATAACTGTCATTGTGTGGCTACACATATATTTATCATACTTTGTGATGATTTTATTGGGCATGCTGAAGCTGCTTTTACTGCTATTGCTTTAGATGAATTATTTTTGGTGATGGAAAGACTGGTGACTATCATACTTCTCATTATTTGCTTGAGATACAGCGTTTACTTCAGTCTGTTACGTCTGAAATGCTTGTTGTCTGGATTAAAGCATATACTTATATAATTATTACAAGTATGTTTCCTTTTTTTTACAGGTTCTGGTGGGGAGGCTTTTGGAAGGTAATAGGCTTTCTGTTTAATATTTTAGTTTGGTATTAGTCAGGTCGAGTGCACTGAATTTCCCATTGAGTGTTTATTGCCTTTGCTTTGTACTTCTTATTCTACATTTGCATCATGTTGGTGTATATATTTGCATACATACAATTGGCATGTATGTGTCTTGTATTTTGACAGGTTACAGTTAGATAATTCTCTATGGATAATTATTATATCTGGTGAATTTACCCATGTTTCTACTGACTCACAGATTGGAAATGATGCTTCCCAGTTCGTCGGGCCTCTTTTACTGAACCAACTTCTACAGGTTCTTCTTTTGTACTTGTTCTGACTTGATAATTACCAGTCAGCCTGGTTGATCCTTGTACTTTAGTGCTGTGTTGATGAGTGGTTTGATGCATGGTGAAAGTTGAATTTGATTACTTCGTTTTACCCTTTGTTTAGGCCTTAACATTTATACTTTTCGCGGTTTCTTTTCAGTCTATGCAAGCAGGCGAACCAGCTTGGATAGGTTATATCTATGCTTTCTCAATCTTTATAGGCGTGGTATGTTCTAAACTCGGTGTTTAAGATTTGATTTAACTATCTTGATGCTGCATTTGTGTTCTTGATTTTTGAATATACTATTGAAAACCCTTGTGAGTAATTTAACTATAAGATTAGCAGATGTATCTCCCTTGGCTTACTAAACACAGGATAGCTTATCTTTGATTCATTATGAACATGTCCCGGAGGTCAGCTGGCCCTTGTTTTAGCTACGGATTGGGTTGTTGGTGTTCTTATAAGACTATGAGCACTGCTCTATATTTATTGTCAGCATAATATATTTCACCAAAAAGAAAAAGGGAATAGTGCATTAAATGAGACTAGTAATCTGATTTAGGACACGAGTTCATCTTATTCTTCTTTAGTGGTTGCCAACCAGTGGCCAAGTACAAGTCTCTTCAAATTGAGCTTCGCAGTGAATATACAGTCCAAAATTATGCTGTCACCCTTTCTCCACGTCCAGTTGCATCCTGTATCCTGCCATAGTCATTTAACATTAGTTTCTTGCTACTTCTGTAAAAAGAAAGAGTTTCTTATGAGGGTTATGTTGTCCAGGTATTGGGTGTCTTAAGCGAAGCTCAGTACTTTCAGAATGTGATGCGTGTTGGGTTCCGGCTAAGAGCAACACTGGTAATTTTATTTTCCCATGACTCTTGAGCATTTTATTTGGTGACTCTTGAGCATTTTATGTGGCCAATGTGGATTTTAGCCTTTTTCTCTTGTTGAAATGTGCATGGTTGAGCAGATGTGATATATGCTTTTTCTTTGTTAACTGCTTTGATGTACTAAGAACCTTGTACACGCTGTCTCTGGGATTCAAAGAAGTAAGCCTTATAGAAGCATGAAGAATGGAAAAAAGGCACCTCTATAATCAAAAGTGAAAATTCTAAGATGCATCAGTAGTTTATCCCAGTAATTAGATTATATCAGTTCAGTTAGGTTAGTATATGAATGTGATCATATGAAACAATTTCTGTCAGTTTCATCTTACACCAAATTTTTCGCCAGCCTAGGGATTTGTAGACCGTGTAATGAAAGACATGCTTCACTCAATATTGGTTTAGTGACCAATATGAACATTGCAGTCAAACATATCTTTTTGTTAAAATTTTCATAAAAAAACAGTTAACCAACGCCAAACTTTGGTTTGGGCGACACAAATGCCTAAAATATCCCTAATAATTTCACTATGAATTATTTTTTGGTTATTTTGTATAGCTAAATAATTCAAATAATTTCACTTTGAAGTGATCTAGAGAAATAAAACTGGGACAAAATTGATATTTTCCCTACCATTTGCCGATGTCAGGTCATCTAAATCTTGGTTCAAACATGATTGACGATTTGTTCAATGAAAATTTTAGCAGAAGTGCATGTTTGATAATTTTGTCAAAGTACAAGGGCATGTTTGATGTAAAAAATAGTTAATGGGCATGTTTGATAAAACGTCATAGTAGAGGGGCATATTATACCTATAACCCTATTTTAGACAGGTGGACCGCTATATTGTTCAGGTTAAGCACTAGTCACAGAGTATGTTGGCAACATTCCGTCAAGCTACTTTCTAACTTCCACTTCTTGACATATGATGCAACCTAACTCCCAAATTCCCAATCATTTTCTTCTTTTTTTTTGGCTCCGATACCAATTAATATGAGTATGTGTTCATCAGGAACTACGCAAGGTTAGGGATATTTAATAGAAAGACATTACAGTCTCATGAATTTTGTTTTAACTTTTCAAAATTCAGAAGTGATTCTTTAACTATTTAAATTTTACTTATATGTGAACTCTTGTGAATAGCTTAACTGATCCGCCAGTTTTCCAAGTTTTTTAGAGTGCTTGTATTCAATTCAGCTCCAAGTTATTTACTGTGGTGTTATTTTTCCTAGATTGCCGCTGTATTTCGGAAATCACTCAGGCTTACACATGAAAGTCGGCGAAGGTTTGCATCTGGTAAAATAACGAACTTGATGACAACTGATTCTGAATCACTGCAGGTAATCTATTCTAATTTTTTTGCTCTGCCTTAATCTCATGCTCCTACATTCTAGATCGGAAGGTCAATTTTTTGGCCATTTGTTGCTATGCAATGGGCAATGGCAGGATGTGCTTCAATATTGAGTCCCCAAATTTAGCTCAATTTTCTAATCAAGGGGCGGGGATGGATGGTTAAGTTCATGTGTATAACAATGCTTAATTCGCTGCACCATGTAGTCTGCTATTCTTAGCGCCCTTACAAGAATTTAATAGCCTTCTTCATCAGGATACTGTTATTGTGAAACTTAATAAATGAAGAAACTTGGTAGTTGTACATTATTTTCTTGGTAAAAGTGTGTAGCAAAACTAGTAGAAAATAGTTTTATGACAAACTTAAGAGTATTGAACAAACCTGGGGTGGTATGTACGACCACCTAATTTATCTGGTTAGGAATGACTGGTTTGTACTTTGTACCTATTAAAATCTAGCTAGATGGAAATTCTTTAATAAGGATCTAACTTGAGCGGTGTTTGATACGTAGGACCAGTGTGGTGAAGGTAGCTTCTCAGTTGGATTTCATTTCTTCTTTGACCTAACATGATTGCCTATCAACTATATTTCAGTGATTATACATCTCACCGTGTGATCCTTTTGACAGCAAATATGCCAATCACTTCATACTCTATGGTCAGCCCCTTTTCGTATTGTCATTGCAATGGTGCTTCTATATCAGCAGCTTGGTGTTGCATCACTTATAGGTGCACTAATGCTTGCTCTTTTGATTCCTGTACAGGTATGTGATTCATCTATTAACCTTTCGACGTTCTGAATTTGCTTTGTTGAGTTGTCGAAGCTTTGTTCTGTTGTCTGAGGAGAATATCAAATGTCAAGGGTCTAATCTTGATGAAACAATAGTATTATCACAGCCATACTAAATAGGCCTTTTTGAACAGTGGATGTTGATTGCAGCCTCTGGATTCTTTTCATAGTCTTTGGTTTAGCTTCTCATGCTAGTTCCATGGCTTTTTAGAAGAGCAGGATATTTATGTTGCTGGCTGTTGCTAACTTGTGTAATCTCTTAAATTTTAATAGACAGTTGTTATAAGCAGAATGCAGAAGTGGTCAAAGGAAGGTCTGCAGCGTACAGACAAGCGAATTGGCCTAATGAATGAACTTTTGGCTGCAATGGATACTGTGAAGTATGATACTTATTTTAAATATTGCTGGAAATCTATTGTTGCCGAGACTATTGCTGACTGTTTTGTGTTAATTGAATTTGCTTAGATGTTATGCTTGGGAGGATAGTTTCCAGGCCAAGGTTCAAAGTGTTCGAGATGATGAATTATCGTGGTTTCGTAAAGCATCACTATTAGGAGCGGTATGACTCTTTCATCCATGCTGTATAAAAATGCTTGTAATCAAGAGCCATCTTTCTATTCCCTTGTGCTTTTCACATTTATCTGTGTCACAGCCTTTTCGACACCTGCATGTGAGAAAAAAGAAATTTTGTTTAATTTTGTTTGTTTTCATTTTCCTCCCAAGTGGTGGTTGCAGAACTGAATAGAGTGGTGACCTATAGATATAGGTTTTTGTAGTGACACATTGAATGCATTGACCATTACATTATTTTGAATTAGTAGAAAAAGGCTGCACAGAGGAAACGAGGATATAATCCATTTGAATGTCTTTTGTACTGTTAGCTTTCTGCATTTTCTGAGTAATTTTCCTTTATTAATAAAATTAGTTTACCCTTATAAAAAGAGGAGGCAGGTGCCTGCCCTTGTTCATTCATTTACTATATCTTCTTGATTTGTCCTTTTTTGCAGCTGAATGGTTTCATAATCAACAGCATCCCAGTTTTGGTGACTGTGGTTTCATTTGGTGTCTTCACTTTGCTTGGTGGAAATCTGACACCTGCTAGAGCATTCACTTCACTTTCCCTGTTCGCCGTGCTTCGTTTTCCCCTCTTCATGCTTCCTAATATAATTACTCAGGTCTTTGGCTTGTTACTTTACCGTACTTTCTCTTACATGTTAATGCAGTATGAACGAGTGGATAACTACTCCTATAAACTCATTCAAGTGCAGAAGTGAGACATCCTTGACTCCAAAGACTGTGAAGCTATCCAAAACTGATTTATCCTAATCAATTATAGATCGAGGATGGATTCACATGATTCTACATTTATATTTCCTATTGGTTTGATTCGGAGCGGAAGAAAATTGACGAACCTTTTATCATTCACACCATATGCACACTCTAATTAGGTATTTTCTCTTTTTAACTTATAATGCTTTGCTATGTGGCAGGTAGTGAATGCAAATGTATCTTTGAAGCGCTTAGAGGAACTATTGTTGGCTGAAGATAGAATACTTCTGCCAAACCCACCTCTTGATCCTGGACTGCCTGCCATCTCAATTAAAAATGGGAACTTTGCCTGGGATTCCAAGGTGTGTTTCACAAATTTTAAATCTTTGATCCACATGTAGTTGAGATTGGCCTGCGAGGCATATTGTTGGCTGGTTTTTTTTGTTGTTGTTTTTCTTGTTTGCTGGTCTGAGTGAAAACCATTATTAATCCTGGAGAATGGAACAATGATTCTGCATCACTTGGATCCTTGTAAAATGTGTGAAGTTTCAACACTTCTGATGTTAATCCATGGAGAAGTATATGCTTGCACTTAAATTTTATAGATACATATGCAAACACGACTGGGAGAGTTGATGATAGTGATTTTTTTAAGCATCTGTGCACCAACGTTGTTTATTTTTGCAATTCTTATATGGTTTCGACTGTGTCTTCGCGTAGGTCATTCGGAAGGATATATCTTGTTTTTGGTATATGATTTATAAGCTGATGTCTCTATATATATATAAGCAAGAAGGTGTGTTGAATCTTTATAAATTTTTGTCTTACCCAGGCAGAGAGCCCCACATTATCAAACATCAACTTGGATATACCAGTCGGTAGCCTCGTTGCAATTGTTGGAGGTACCGGGGAAGGGAAAACCTCACTTATATCAGCAATGCTTGGCGAGCTTCCTGCCATTTCTGACTCAAGTGTTGTTTTAAGAGGAACCGTGGCTTATGTTTCTCAAATTTCCTGGATCTTTAATGCAACTGTAAGCTTTTGTTTATCTGTTGAATGTTACGCCCAGTATTTTGTTATTTACAGCTTAAGATCCTTTGAAATCCTATTTCTGCTGCGATTAAGTGTAGCTCTTTTATTTTTTGATCTTAGGAGTTCTGTTGTTGCAGGTGCGCGATAATATATTGTTCGGATCTCCCTTTGATTCTACCAGATATGGCAAAGCAATAGATGTAACTGCCTTGCAGCATGACCTTGAATTGCTTCCGGTATGTATTGTCATTTTTGTTCAGTTATGATGTCAATTTTGTTAGGATTTGACAGCTGGACTTGAACTAACATATGCTTTTTCCTTTAATAGGGTGGCGATCTCACAGAGATTGGTGAAAGAGGAGTGAACATTAGCGGTGGGCAAAAGCAGAGAGTTTCCATGGCTCGGGCTGTGTATGCTGATTCAGATGTCTACATTTTTGATGATCCGTTAAGTGCCCTTGATGCTCATGTAGCTCGACAGGTGAGATTGGATCTATTAGGCAAATCTTGCAATCAGCATGTGTGATTGTCATAAAACATGATTACACTTGCAATTATCTGATATTTTTCTTAGTTATTCACTTAACTAGTTTCCCTCACTTGCAACCTTCAGGTCTTTGATAAATGTATCCGAGGAGAATTGAGCAAGAAAACGAGAGTTCTTGTCACGAACCAGCTACATTTTCTTTCGCAAGTGGACAAAATCATCTTAGTCCATGAGGGCACTGTCCAAGAGGAGGGGACCTTTGAAGAACTGTCTAATAATGGTAGTCTGTTCCAGAAGCTTATGGAAAATGCAGGGAAAATGGAAGAATATGAGGAGGAAAAGGAAGATGATGAACCCGAAGATAAGAACCTATCTTCAAAACCTGTTGGTAACGGGCATATTGAGGTAAAGAGTGAAAATGGAGTGAAGAAGCCCAAAGAAGGCAAATCTATTCTTATCAAGCAAGAAGAGCGTGAAACAGGTGTTGTCAGTTGGAAAGTTGTGTCAAGGTAGTAATATATTAACTCCACAGTTCACATTCTAAGAGTTAAATTATTTGCTTCTCTATGTCCAATTTTTTTTCTTTGTACCGTTTTAACTGTGAAAATGGTCTTATTTCAGATACAAGAATGCATTAGGTGGTACTTGGGTGGTAGTTGTACTCCTCTCGTGCTATGTCTTGTCAGAGACTCTACGTGTTTCAAGCAGTACTTGGTTGAGTAATTGGACAGATCAGGGGGCTTCGTCAAGGCATAGCTCTGGTTTTTATAACCTCATATATGCACTTCTCTCGTTTGGTCAGGTAGGAATCAGTTTAAGTTACTTCTGTAATTTATTAGATGCATACCACCTATTAATATTTGGTTCATGCTTCATAATTATCCAATGGCCTTCGGTGCTAATTAGTCTCATTTAGTCTTGTATCTGACACTTATCCTACTCTTTACCTGTTTCTAGGTTATGACAACTTTATTAAATTCATATTGGCTGATTCTGAGTAGTTTGTATGCTGCGAAAAGGCTACATGATGCGATGCTTCATTCGATATTAAGAGCTCCGATGGTCTTCTTCCACACAAACCCACTTGGGCGAATAATTAATCGATTCGCAAAGGATATGGGCGACATTGATCGAACTGTTGCCCCATTTGTGAACATGTTTCTGGGGCAGGTAGCACAACTCTTCTCCACTTTTGTGCTCATAGGAATTGTGAGCACCATGTCCTTGTGGGCCATTTTGCCACTTCTGGTATTGTTTTATTGGGCATATCTATACTATCAGGTATGAAAACATCTTGTATTAATCCTTAATAGTTGCTTGTCCTCAGATTTGCGAAGCATTTCTGACTGTTCCCTTGGCTTTAAGCATTTCATCTTTTTCTTTTTTCCCTATAGAGCACTGCTCGTGAAGTAAAGCGGTTGGATTCTATAACAAGATCCCCTGTCTATGCACAATTTGGTGAAGCTCTGAACGGGTTGCCAACTATTCGCGCTTACAAAGCTTATGACCGCATGGCTGACATCAATGGCAGATCTATGGACAACAATGTAAGATATACCCTTGTCAACATGGGTGCAAACCGCTGGCTTGCAATCCGTCTGGAGACATTAGGCGGTATTATGATTTGGTTTACAGCTACCTTTGCTGTAATGCAAAATGGAAGGGCAGAAAACCAGCAGGAATTCGCGTCCACAATGGGTCTGCTTTTGAGTTATGCATTGAACATTACAAGTTTATTGACTGCTGTACTAAGGCTTGCAAGTTTGGCTGAGAACAGCTTAAACTCTGTGGAGAGGGTAGGCACTTACGTAGAGTTGCCATCTGAAGCTCCTGCTGTTATTGAGAACAACCGACCCCCTCCTGGATGGCCGTCATCAGGATCAATCAAGTTTGAAGATGTGATCCTACGTTATAGGCCTGAGCTTCCACCTGTCCTACATGGGTTATCCTTTAGCATTTCTCCTAGTGATAAAGTTGGGATAGTTGGAAGGACTGGTGCTGGCAAATCCAGCATGCTGAATGCTTTATTTCGGATCGTGGAGTTGGAAAGAGGAAGAATTTCGATTGATGGTTGTGACATAGCAAAATTTGGATTGATGGATCTACGCAAAGTACTCGGAATTATACCGCAATCTCCTGTTCTGTTTTCAGGTGCCTCACTATGCTGTTGCCTGACCCTATATATTCATAGTAGAGACTGCTCTCTAATTTTGCTCTTTATTTATTTCCTGTATCAGGTTCTGTGAGGTTTAATCTTGATCCATTCAATGAACACAATGATGCTGATCTTTGGGAGGCTCTAGAGAGGGCACATTTGAAGGATGCTATTCGAAGGAACTCTTTGGGTCTGGATGCTGAGGCAAGTGCTTGAGTTTATATTTACGGTTCTTTTTTGCTCTAACTTCCCTGAGTTGTATACTTGAAATCATATCCTTATTAGGGTAGGTCTACAGTTTGAAGTTTCTTGTGTGGATCTTAATTTTTTTAAATAGTTTGTTGGCTGCTGAGAACCTTGAAACACTACACTTTGCTCTCCTTGTGATGCTTATACGTGAAACTCGACTAAATTATTGATTTGTTCACTGGGTTAGGTTTCTGAGGCTGGGGAGAACTTCAGCGTTGGACAGAGACAGCTATTAAGTCTTGCTCGAGCTTTACTGCGTAGGTCCAAGATACTTGTCCTAGATGAAGCTACTGCAGCAGTTGATGTGAGGACAGATGCCCTCATTCAGAAAACTATCAGGGAAGAATTTAGAACCTGTACTATGCTAATCATTGCTCACCGGCTTAATACCATCATCGACTGTGACCGCATTCTTCTGCTCGACTCTGGCAGGGTATGAACCCCTTAATCTCTACCTTTTTGTCTAAACTTCTTTGGTTTAATTATAAAAGATGAGTGGATATTGGGAATGACTAGTATGAGTATATTTTGAGAATAAATTTTAATATCCGTGAGGCAATTTGCAGATGAATTTTACTTGTGTGGTGAAGTAGGATGTAGATTTTATAATTTGCTGTAGATCCACCATGAATGATTGTTTTGACAAGTTAGATTGAATCTATTTGAGCTTTTACTTCTTCTTGTCCTTGGTAACTTTTATTTAAGCTGAAAAAAACACAATATTAGCAGAAGCAGTTTTTCCTTGTATAATCACATGTAAAACTATTGAATCTCTGGGGCCTTTTGTTTTCATACAGGTTCTTGAGTATGATTCCCCAGAATCGCTGTTGTCCCGTGAGGGCAGTGCTTTCTCCAAGATGGTGCAGAGCACGGGAGCTGCCAATGCGCAGTACTTGCGGAGCTTAGTACTAGGAGGGGAAGGTGGAGAGGGAAGGCCCAGCAGAGTGGACAAACAAATAGATGGACAGAGGAAATGGCTAGCCTCTTCTAGGTGGGCAGCTGCTGCAAACTATGCCCTTGCTGTGAGCCTCACTTCATCACACAACGACCTTCAGCGCTTGGAGATCGAGGACGAGAACTCTATTCTGAAGAAGACAAAGGATGCAGTGGTGACCTTGCAAGGAGTTTTGGAAGGCAAACATGACAAAGAAATTGAAGAGTCTTTGGAACAGCACCAGATTCCCAGAGAGGGATGGTGGTCTTCGCTGTACAAAATGGTGGAAGGTATAACAGAATTTGCCTGTAGTTGATGACATGTATTCTGTATGAATTGTTGTTGTTTATGTCCTTTGGTTTGTTCATAGCTGCTCATGATTTCTTGTCGTTTTTTACCTGCAGGCCTTTCAATGATGGGCAGACTGAGTAGGAACAGGTTAAACCAATCCGGCGATGGGTTTGAAGAGAAGACAATTGATTGGGACCATGTTGGGATGTAGAAGTAGGAAAATGAACTCTCTTGTAGGTCTCTCTCTCTGGCAATGGCTGTGCCTGCATCAGCCACTGCCTGTAGTTAAAGTTACCTGATAAGTTTTGTAATACAACGTTAAGCTATCTTTGCATCCCTTTGTTTTCGTAGATTTCCATTATCATATGCTGCCTGGGAACAGGGGACCCTTTTCTGGGCCAGAGACGGATCAGTTGCTATAAATGTTCAAACTCATAATCCTGTCCACTATGTGCGTCCAATTTTTGTACGTTTTGCACTTTGCAGTCGTCCTATTTTTAATGCTGGTCTGTTGAAGCTACAAATCAAACTAGAAGATGATCTGGATAGGGTGCTTGCACAAGGAGAGCTTGTTCGGTTTCAGCGGGCCAAGGAGAAATAGGTGACTTTGGGAGAACAGAACACGTCTTACTTCCATCATCAGGCTACCAGACGCAGAAGGAGAAACAAAGTTTTAGCTCTCCGCAATCAAAATGGAGTTTGGATTGATGATCCAGAGACTCCTCAACATGGTCTTAGCTTTCTGCACCTCGCTCTACACTGAAGATGGAGACCATTATGAGGATCTTATGCCAAGAAATGCTTTTCCTAGGCTGCAACAAGAGGATATCATGGCACTTCATCGTCCATTCCATATAACTGATTTTCACAAAGCTATTTTTGAGATGAAGCCATACTCAGCCCCCGGATCCCATGGATACCAAGCGATTTTTTACCAAACTTTCTGGTCAGTGGTGGGGAAAAGCTTGGCGGACATTGCTACTAAGTTTTTTGAAACAGGGGAGATTGCAGAAAAAGCTATGGAGTCGACAATCACCCTTATCCCGAAGACAGATCAATTAGAGTCTCCGGCACAGTTCAGACCTATATGTCTCAACAACGTAGCACTCAAAGCAATAACCAAGGCTGTCACCAACAGGCTGAAACCGCTAATGCCAACACTCATTGCGCCCACCCAGAACGGTTTTATCCAGGGACGACAGATAAATGACAATGTGATTTGCTACAAGAAGCCCTCCACTCTTTGAGAAATAGAAAAGGGAAGAAAGGAGGTCTAATAATCAAGATAGATCTCGAGAAGGCTTACGATAGATTACGTTGGGATTTCATTAGAGACACCTTAAAGGAAGTAGGTCTGGCCAGCTCACTCATCAATAGAATCATGACGTGCGTGGAAAGGAACAAGATGAGGATCAACTGGAACGTGCGACTTTCGAACCAAATACTCCCCACTAGAGGAGTCCGTCAGGAAGACCCCCTTTCTCTCTTCCTTATTATTTTATGTATGGAGAGATTGGCTCATAGAATTGAACAAGCTCTAGAGGAAAAGATGTGGAAACCATTACATTTATAAAAAATGGGCCAAAGCTTTCTCATTTATTTTTTCCTGATGACTTGGTTTTGTTTGCAGAAGTCGAGAGTAACCAGATTGACAACATTAAACAATGCCTTGATTAATTCTGCAGCAGCTCAGGACAACGGGTGAATTTTAGTAAATTTGCCATGTTCGTGTCTCCAAATGTCAAAAGAGATAAGGCTCAAAGGCTGAGTTCTCGAGCAGACATCCAGCTAACGCAAAATTTAGGGAGATACCTGGGGATTACTGCCATCAATGGCTGGATCACGAAATCTCGCTACAAGGAATTTCTACTGAAAATCCAAACGATGTTGGCGGCTTGGAAGACAAGGCAACTCTCCATGGCAGCCAGAGTAACTATGGTGAAAGCAGTAACTTCGAATATTGCAATTTACCCTATGTTTTCTGAATTGCTTCCTCTCGGTGTCTGTAGTTCAATGGACAGGTGTAATAGACTGTTCATTTGGGGTGAGGAGGAAGGCAAAATGAAGATCCATTCAGTGGCATGGGATCATTTGACTATACCACGACATGAAGGAGGCCTTGGCATTCGACCCACAAGGAGGACCAACCAAGCTATGTTAGCAAAGGGAGCTTGGAGGTTGATAATAGAAGATCAACCGTTGTGGGTCAGGGTGCTAAGAAGCAAATATGGTCACAATAGGAAGGGACTCAACCTACTTACAAAGAAACAAGAAAGTTCACATGCCTTGAAAAGTTTTGCCGAAACGGCAAACCTCCTGAAAAAAGGAGCAGCAAAAAATGTGAAAAACGGGGAAAAGACTAACTTTTGGTTGGACTCATGTCATGGGTTTTGCAGGAACCCCCTATCACACGGGCATTGGTTGAAATCCCGACTGAGATGCAAGTATGCAACAGAAGAAAGTAGCTGATTATTGGAGCAATAACACAGGTTGGAAGATGGAAGAACTAGATGTTTTTTCTTCCAATAGACGTCCTGAACAAGATCAGATCGACCATGATTGATCCCCTATCAACAATCGAAGAAAGTTTATTTTGGAAGGCCTAAGCAAATGGCGCTTTTAGCACGTCCACAGCCTACAAGCTTGAAGATCAGCAACAAGGGATGCAAAACTCAACGCACTGGAACAAAATTTGGCGTTTGCAGGTCCCAGAGCGAGTTCGGCTATTCATGTGGACCACAACTAAAGGGAGACTGATGACCAACAACATAAGAAAGCTCATACACCTCACCTCGGATGAGAGTTGTGCACTCTGCGAAAAAGATATAGAGTCAAACATTCACTGCCTGAGAGATTGTATCAAGATTAAGAGAATCTGGGAAAGAATCATACCACGTCAGCAGCAACAACAATTCTTCTCAGCTAATCAAGATGAGTGGTTGAAGGGGAACTTAGAGAACAGAGATGACAACGAGGAAACATGGGAGTGGTCCAGCTTTTTTTCTCTTATATGCCGGTACATTTGGAAACACAGGAACGAGTTCATCTTCAGAACTACTAGACTTTCTAGTCCAACCCTCACCAACTATATAATATCTAAGGCAAAGGATAGGACGAGCACTTGGAAGAGGGCAATGGAAACAAAGAACCTTGCGACTAAACCAGCAAGAGAAGAACAATTGATAGGATGGAGACCGCCACAAACAGGGTGGGTTAAGCTCAATACAGATGGTGTAGCTCAGGGACACCAGGGTATCATAACTGCAGGAGGATGCCTGAGAGACAATGATGGCGACTAGTTGGGAGGCTTCATCTGCAAGTTGGGTTCTGGATCGGCCATCCTGTTGGAATTGTGGGGCATTCGCCTAGGCCTTGAGTTAGCTTGGAGGAAGGTATCCAATATGTGATTATAGAAACCGACTCAAAATTGGCGCTCGAGCTCATAATCAACAAGACAGATTCGGTACACCCCCATTCCACAATTTTACAGCCAATTCGCAGAATGATGGCGCAAAGTTGGGTTGTAAGTTTAACTCATACGTATCGCGAAGGGAATAGAGTCACAAACTGGCTCTCGAAGCACAGTCTCGTCTATCCCTTCGATACGTATGAGTTAAATGAACTCCCGACAGAATTAGAAAGGCTATTGCGAGAAAACATGATTGGAGTCTGCTTCCCGCGACAAGTGGTTATCGACAACGTCAATAGCTAAGGCTTTATATTTTTTACTGGACCTTTGAGTTTGTGTAACTTGCTTGTGGGATTAGGGAGGAGAGCGGATCCCATGACTAGGGGGGGGGGGGGTGCTTAGTCACTTGACTAAACCCCTCCTATCTATTGGATGTAGAAGGATCAATCTAACGGTGAAAATTAAGGAAGGGATTTTTAAATACCGGGGGGGGGGGGGGGGGCAATTCTGGCATTATAATTTTGTCATTAATTGATTTTCCTTTTTATTCTGGGAAGGGAAAAAAAATCTCCCGAAGGCTTTACTCCCGCGAACAGCGAGGGGATTTCCGGCGGCGTCCAACTCCTCCAGCGAGCGAAGGCGATTCCGGCGATCGGCGCGGCGATTTTCCTCCCGCGATCGAAGAGGCGATTCCAGCGATCGGCGATTCCAGCGATTGGCAGCGAGACGATTCCGGCGATTGGCAAGGCGATTTTCCTCCCGCGATCGGCAAGGCGATTCCTGCGATCGGCGAAGGCGTTTTTCCAGCAAACGGCGAGGCGATTCCGGCAATTGGCGAGGCGATTTTCCTCCCGCGATCGACGACGGCGAGTTGCACTCTCCTCCAACTATCGGCGAAGGCGTTTTTCCAGCAAACGGCGAGGCGATTTTCCAGAGAACGACGAGGCGATTTTCCGGCAACTACTGTTGGCGAGGCAAATTTCTTTGCATAATGGATTCTGCTTCGATAACAATGGATGAAGTGGTTGATGGAGCTAATGAACAAAAAATGGGAGAAACTGGAACTGAAACAACAATGGATGTAGATATTCAGGAAACAACAGTACAACGTGAAATCGGTAATAAATCTTGTCTAATGTTTGTAATGATTCTGTATTGTAAATCTGTATATATGATGATTGTTATGTTTGTTATGAAAGTTTATTCTGTTTATAATGTTAGTATTGTTGTGCTTTCTGTTACAGTTTGTATTCTTAGTATGTTTTTCTTTTGATGTTTGTATTCTTAGTATGTTTTTCTGCTCTGTTCTGTACATTTTGTATTGTAAGTCTTTATATATGATGATTGTTATGTTTTTACAAACAGTGCAAACAGTACAAACGTATGGTTTATGCAGTTTGTACAAAAATACCGTATGTATTTATAGCTTTAGTGCATCAGTTTGTATGGTTTAATTTTGTTTGTAATGTTAGTATTGTTGTGCCATCTGTTGCTGTTTGTGTTCTTAGTATGTTTTTCTGTTACAGTTTGTACTCTTAATATGTTTTTCTGTTGCTGTTTGTACTCTTAGTATGTTTTTCTGTTACAGTTTGTACTCTTAGTATGTTTTTCTTTGACAGTTTGTATTCTTAGTATGTTTTTTTGCTTTGTTCTGTTACTTTGTAATGTGGTTGTTCTGATATTGTAAACTGGTTGTTTCTGCAGATGATGAGATCAAAATAATACCAAGCAATGAAGAAACGTGGATGAACCTTCGCTTTGACACAAAAGATCATGGATTGCTGTGATACAAATGCTATGCACATGATAAGGGATTTTCTGTTAGAGAAATATGAGGGGTTAAGAGAACAAGCAATTACAAACCGTGTGAAGTTGTAAGATATTTTGGGGGCAGATGCAATAAGGAAGGTTGGCGAAAAGGTAGTGCAAATAATCCAGCAAATGACGACCATGTTGACCAACAACCTAGAAGCAGAATCAGAAAAGAGGATAGATGGGATTGCAAAGCAGTGATACGCTTCCAGCTTGAAGATAGTTCCCAAAAATACTACATTTCAAGCTGGTTAGACGAGCATAATCACAAGATGATACCACCATCATCAAGACAATTCATGAGATCAAATAGAACGATGAATGAAGTGCAAAAGTTCTTGATTGACATGTATCACAACGGTGGAATATCGATACAATCATCATTTCAAGCATTATGCTTGGCTGTCGGAGGAAGAGAAAATGTTGGTTTCACACAAATGGACCACAAGAATTATATCCGTACTAAAAGGTGGGTTTTGCACATTTTATAAGCTTTTTGGATCTGTTTTGTATTGTTTATACTATTTGATTTCTGTACTTTGTATGTTTTGGTAATATTCTTTGTACTGTTTGTGTACTTTGTATGTTTTGGTCTAATCCTTTGTACTGTTTGTATACTTGGGGACTAAAAGGCAAAAAACAATGAAGTTTGGGGAGGCAACAATGATTTATCATCATTTCAAAAGTGAAGCTTCAATGGACCCAGTTTTCTTTTATGAGATCCAAGTTGACATCAATGAAGAAATTGCAAGTCTTTTCTGGGCGGATGGACGCATGAGAATAGACTATTTCTATTTTGGTGACACCATCAGCTTTGACACAACATACCGCACCAACAAGAATGCTCGCCCATTAGGTACTATAATTTTTTTAATGTTCACTAACATGTATGTTTGTAATGATTTTCTTCCATATTTGTCATGATTCTGTCGCTGTTTGTGTTCTTAGTATGTTTTTCTGTTGCTGTTTGTGTTCTTAGTATGTTTTTCTGTTGCTGTTTGTATTCTTAGTATGTTTTTCTTTTACAGTTCATACTCTTAGTATGTTTTTCTGTTACAGTTTGTATTCTTAGTATGTTTTTCTGCTCTGTTCTGTTACTTTGCAATATGTCAGTTTTGTTAAACCTCATTACTAATTTTAAACAAAATTTGCATTTCAGCTTTATTTGTGGGCTTCAATAACTATAGAGAAACATGTGTTTTTGGTGCTGCCCTAATCTATGATGAGACATCAGCCACATTTGATTGGCTCTTCAAACAATTTCTCATTTGCATGAACGGGAAGGAACCGGGAGCTGTTTTTACCGATCAAGCAGCAACAATTGCTGCTGGTACGAGGACAGCATTGTCGCGCACTTATCATGGGCTGGGCCCATTCCATATAACAATGAATGCAAAGAGTAATGGGTTGTGGTGGTCAACATTTTTGGAAGAGTTTTCCTTCTTGATGTATGATTTGGAGACGGAGGATGAATTCGACTATTATTGGAAGAAGATGCTTGAGAATTGCTTCAATGAAGAAGAAGGGAAGAAATTAACAAGTAAGATTGAGACATGGCTGCAAAACCTCCACAAAGTGAGAAGTAAATGGTCATCGGCATGGCTGAAAGATCATTTTGCATGTGGAATGAGAAGCTCACAACTCAGCGAGAGTTGCAACAACCATTTGCGTAAGTATCTCAAGTCAAAACTTACTTTGTGGGAGTTTTTTATACAATTCAACAACCTTCTTGAAGCCAAAAGACATAAGGAGTTGAGAAGTAACTATGATGCATTGAATACTATTCCATACTTGGCTTTCCCGAACAGTGAGATTCTTCAACAGTTTGTTACCAAATATACACAAAATATATTTGGGAACATGCAAGATGAATATTCCAAGTCAATCGAATACCATATACGACCAAACAACTCCAATGATATAGATGGAATGTTTGCATATGAGCTTCACAAACTAGATCAACAAAGAAATCCTATTGATAAGAGGATTGTTATGATTGACTTTGTGGAGCGTAAGCTGATTTGCTCATGCAAGATGTTCGAGAAGTGTGGATGGCTTTGTGGCCATGTGTTGCGCGCAATAGATCACCTCGGCTATGGAGGACACCCAAAAATCCTGAATATTCACACACACTACATATTGAAGAGGTGGACTTATTATGCAAAATCTGGTGATTTCACACTACCGGCAGTACAACAGACAGCAGAGAGGGTGCACTGTTCAAGGGTGAAACAACTTACTGGATCAATGAATTTGCTTGCAACATGCACTTGTATGGATGCTGACATATACAAGATGCTTGAGGAAGGAATGCAAGCATTGAAGATTCGTGCTGAATCCATGATGCCTGCCATAAAGTTTGGCCAACCTAGCACAAGCACAAGTAAGAAATGAAACACTACCTTTAATCTGGTGCAGGTTTGTAATGATATCACTTATTGTTTGTATACTTAGTATGTTTTTTCATAATAGTTAGTATTCTTTTAGTTGATATTCATATCAATGACTGTTAGTAATGATATTGGTTAAAGTTTGTATTGTTAGTATATTTTTCTGGTATGTTTCTTTGTATGATAAGATTGGCTACAAAAACTGACTATTGCTGTTTAATCCTTTGTTTTTTTCCTATTCTAGAAGCATAAATGAATCCAACAAGTTCAGAGAGCGAACCACTTTGGGAGAAAGCATTAAAAGTCGGGACTAATCCATTTAAATCAAGGACAAGGAGGAAGAATCGTATTGAAATCATTCAAGAAAGGAGAAGACAAACAAAGTTACAAGAAAGGGCATATGAAGGAAAGTAAATACATGATACCTGCCATGAAATTTGGCCAGCCTAGCACAAGCAGCAGGTTTGTAATGATATCAGTTACGTTTTGTATCCTTAGTATTTTTTATCATAACAGTTAGTATTCTTTACGTTTATATTCATAAGCTTGACAGTTAGTAATGATATTACTTAAAGTTTGTATTGTTAGTATATTTTTCTGGTATGTTTCTTTGTTGGATAAGTATGCTACAAAAACTGACAACTACTGTTTAATCCCATTGTAGAAGTGGAAACAAAGTTACAAGGACAAGGAGGAAGATTAGTAGTGAAATCATTCAAGAAAGGAGAAGACAAACAAAGTTACAAGAAAGGGCGGATGACAAAAAATAAATACATAGACAGAACGGCTTGCCATATCATATATTACTTGATAGATACATAGATAAATTTTAGTGATTGCATAGATATATTTTGGAGTTTACGAAACTGAATAAATGTCACATCAAACAATTCATTTGTTGCGTTCTTTTTCAATTCATATTTGTATGTTTCTCATGCTTATTCTATGTTAGACAGGAACATTACGAAATAGGATACAAAAAATTACGAACCACAACAACAAAACATACAAACTACTGTGATAAAAATTACAAACCACAACATAGATAGCAACCACTCTACTGTTCATACAAAAAAGGACAAGTGTTTACAATCTCAAAAAAACTTAATGGTTAGCAATAGCCTTCTAACCATAACACCAACAGCCACACTACTGTTCATATGGCCACCGCATTACAAAACATGAGAATGGAAAATAGTACTAGTGCATACTGTCATGGATTACAAAAAAAACACTATTGGTTCCCTATTCCATCATTTGTCAAGCGAAAACCCAGTACTGGAACTTCCTAATGACAGCAACAAATCTTCACTAAAAGACACATTCATCCTCAATTGCTCGATCATCAAATTGCTTGTCCCATTCAGCAAAGTCAACATAGCATTAATCTTCCGGTTGTAAATATAGGTTGGAGAAGACCATTTTTCCCTCATCGTCTTTGTAGCCACACCTTCCCATTCTTCACAGTAGTTTAAACAGATAATGCCAGCACTAGTGAAATTATCATATGGAATTGTGATCCTCCGCCATTTGAAGTCGTTATCAAAGTCATATTTTCCTGGCATGATGTGCTGAATGTAAGATGTTGCATACTGGACGACCAACTCTCCAACCCTCCTAAACCAATCTAGAAAATGCTTAGAAGGAGAGCTGTCAAGGTACTCGAAACGACGATCCTTTAAGTTAACACAATATACAATGAAATGATCATCTATACAACATGGGAAAAGCCACTGCACATGAAGAAGAAACAAAGAAGAATCATAAAAAGTATAATCATACAAAGCAGAATTGTACAAAGTGTACAAAGTATACAAAAAATATGGAACAGAATCACAAAGTGTACAAAGTATACAAAAAATATGAAACAGAATCACAAAGTGTACAAAGTATACAAAAAATATGGAACAGAATCACAAAGTGTACAAAGAATGAAATATTCCAACTTACATATTGGTATGTCTTGAAAGATGCACCATCTCGCAATGGGTATTTTCTGACATAAGATTTCATGACCTTCAAATATTTGGGTTCCATTTTGTCATTCACAACCTTGGACTAGGTACAATCAAAGACAAAAAAAAAACTTGCATTAATATGGCTAATAGACACTAAATGACATACAACAACATGTGAAAATTAACTCACCGCAAAATCAGTTGGAAAAGACCATCTACCAATAAATCCATTCTCACAAGAAGAACAACGGTTGAAATTCTCAATATAGCAATCAATAAATTTTATTGATAGAACAATCTTGTCACATGTCGTTTGAGTATCCTTCCTTGACAAGTGATACTCACCTTCATCCATGTCGAAAAGAATTTCATTTCTAAAAATGTATACAAACAGTTTATATTAAATTCACTAACCGAAGAAGAAAAGTACAAACTGATATATAAATGTATACAAACAGTATGAAATGAAACTTACACAGGAAATCTGTCACTCCAAGCATATTGAATAAGTTTTTCTTCATACAATAGTTGGCTACTAGTCCGAAGTGGAGCTACCTTCTCTACCTTCTTGGAGGTAGGTTTTTTCTTTTTTTGCCGAATAGGAATATGTGCTTTCATGGAAGGAGGTTTATGCTTTTTATTACCAGTAGTATATGGTGTCCTCTTTAAATTGGATGGCTTGAGCTCCCTTTTCGAGCGTCTTTGATTAACGAAATCAACATTCGACCCAGAATCTAACAAAATAGAGACAACACAAACAAAACAGACAAACATTACAAACAGTAGCAGAAAAAGTAACTAAGTGTAAAAACAGACAAACATTACAAACAGCAGCAGACAAAGTAACTAAGTGTACAAAAAGATTAAAATTGCAGTAAACGAGACTAAAGGACAGCACCAACTACAAACATAACGATTACCTTCGACGTCATTCTTGTTTTCATCTTCACCATTTGACTCATCTTCAGCATTATCACTAGAAATATCATCACAATCATCTTCAATCCCAACCCCATCGTTATCATCACTATTTGAATCGTCTTCTCACAACCAAAACAACAAAGATGAAACAATATAGCACATTACAAAAGACATAAAGACAGAGAACTAGATAATTAATAAACCATAAGATCTAGTTTGCAATCCACAAGTAGTGTGCACACACAACATGTGTACAAATTGTACGACAAAGAGTACAAACCATACAAACCAATCATAAAGTGCATATTTAAAAGATGTACTACAAATTTAAAAGACCACCATCAGTAACTAATCAAGCTTTTCACCCCGCTCACCATCAGCACCTGCCTCCACAGATTGTGCAATCTGTAAAACAACTTCCATACTATCCTTAAGTGGCAGCTCCTCGGAAACTGCGGTTGGCACGACTCCATCCTCTGCCGGCTGCTTTTGAAGTGTTGGATCTAAGGCCACCATCTCCATTGTTGGCTGCTTTTGAAGTGCTGGAGCAGGAGTAACTTCAGCCTTCTCCACTGCTAGCTGCTGCCTCACAAGTGCTGGAGTCTTCTGGAGCTCAGTTGGCTGCTGCGTAAGTGCTGGAGCAGGAGTAACTCCAGCCTTCTCCAATGATGGCTGCTGCCTCACAAGTGCAGGAGTCTTCCGGAGCTCAGCTGGCTGCTGCGGAAGTGCTGGAGCACGAGCACTTCCAGTCTTCTCCACTGCTGGCTGCTGCCGCACAAGAGCTGGAGTCTTCTGGAGCTCAGCTGGCTGTTGTGGAAGTGCTGGAGCACGAGCACTTCCAGTCTTCTCCACTGCTGGCTGCTTCCTCACAAGTGCTGGCTTCTTCAGATTAACTAGAGCTACATCATCATCAGTTTCCTCCTCACTCCTATCTCCATCATCGCTCTCAGCATCATCGTCACCACTCCGGTCACCATCATCGCTCCCATCACCATCACTCCCACTCCCACTTCCATTCCCACTCCCACTCCCACTCCCACTCTGATTACCGCCTTCACTCTCACTCTCTTCATTATGAGTTGCTGTAGCTTTCTCAACAACTTCACCACCTTCAGAATCATTTGCTGTAACTTTCTCAACAAGTTCAACACCTTCAGAATCAGTGTGCACCTCGATATTAGCTAGGTATAGGTGACACTGATTTATCTGTCTTCGGTACAGCTTACCTTGCTGTTCCAACTCAGATAATGAACTTTGTAACCTTCTCCTAATCAACTTAACCTACAACAAAACAAATAATAGAAAACATAAACATAAGTTAGAGAATGTACACAAATAATACAAACAATACAAAGTAATAGACCAAAACATACAAAGTTTACAAACAGTGCAAAAAGATACAAAGTATACAGACAGTACAAAGGATGAGACCAAAACATACAAAGTGTACAAACAGTGCAAACAGTACAAAGTATACAGACAGTACAAAGTAATAGACCAAAACATACAAAGTGTACAAACAGTGCAAAAATATACAAAGTATACAGACATTACAAAGTAATAGACCAAAACATACAAAGTGTACAAACAGTGAAAAAATATACAAAGTATACAGATAGTACAAAATAATAGACCAAAACATACAAAGTGTACAAACAGTGCAAAAATATACAAAGTATACACACAGTACAAAGGATGAGACCAAAACATACAAAGTGTACAAACAGTGTAAAAATATACAAAGTATACAGATAGTACAAAGTAATAGACCAAAACATACAAAGTGTACAAACAGTGCAAAAAGATACAAAGTATACAGACAGTACAAAGGATGAGACCAAAACATACAAAGTGTACAAACAGTGCAAACAATACAAAGTATACAGACAGTATAAATTGTGAAAACAATACTATAAAGCATAGGAACAATCTGTACAAAGTAAGCAAAGAACACATACAAAACCATACAAACTCACCTCTTGAACAGTCTTGCCATCCAGATTCAAATTGAAATCTGGAAATTCATCTCCAATACCAAAACCCTTCTCACCTCCAGCAACCTCAAAACCACTAATACTCTGAGCCATCTTCGGACGAGTAGGAGAAGAAATGGGTGCATCCCTTAGAACAAAAACCTTACCAAAATCCTTCCCAAACTTCTTCTTCATTGCTGCCTTCCTTTGCTTCAAATGTTTCGAACTCCACAACTGACAGGTTGGCACCAAATTACTAACACAGCGGCTGACCTCTTCCTCATTCAGAGTTGTCCTATCGAGGAAACAAATAAGCAAGAAGTGCATATCTCCCTCAACCCAACTGTTATGCTGACTTGATGTCACCTTATCACAAATGAGACCATATACATAACTGCACCAATCATAGTCATAGAAATACTTAACTATTTCTTGAGAAAGAAAAGTCAAGTATTCTGTTGTCACCGTCCTAGATGAAACAGATTCGAATAGGCGGCAAAAAATCATCGGCACATACATATTCACCCACCTAGAATCAGACTTCTCTGCTCCCATACAAGTCCTCAAATTCTCAAAAGCAACAGTCTCCTTCCCAGTTTTACTGAAACCATAATCTTTACCAAGGTTAGAATTCACCTTTGATGTTTTCTGCAAACACACAACATTTGGTCCCCTTGGAAGGCCATAAACTCTGTAAACATCCTCTTCCGTAATGCAAATCTTCTTTCCATCATCCAAGTTGATACACTTATTCTTCCCATCCCACCTTGAAATAATGAACTTAATAAGTTCATTGTCCATATTCTTCATCTTCATCAAAAACACAAAATCCAAGCCCAGCTGCTTAATTAATTGTACCCTGCCATGAGATAAAGGAGGCAGAACATGACTCTGAACCTCTTTCGGACTGCATCGATGGTTCAAAGAAGCTTCATTTCCTCCGTCCGGAGCTCTCTTCTGCCTTTTTGCATGAGTTGCTGCTTTCTGCTTCTCTCCAGCAACAACCTTTCTTTTCCTTTTCCCTGTATCAGAAATTTGAACTTCCTTCCCCTTATTCTTAAGGTTCTCCCCCTTCCTCTTGGTTTTAGTAACTTCAGCTTCAGCAGCATGGGTACTTGACCCTCCCACCTCTGAACCTTTTACCATCCTTACTTAAAAGCTACAAAATCAACAACAGAACAAGTCAACCAACAAATACAGTAAATCATACAAAGCAGAGTAATAAACCATACGAAGCAGAATCATAAAAATAACAAACCATACGAAGCAGAGTAATAAACTGTACAAACCGCACAAAGTGTACAAACTGTATGAACATGAGAAACAAAGTGTACAAACTGTATGAACCACGAAGAGTACAAACAGAGGTATGAAAACACACAAACTAAACAATTAATACAAGTAAACCCAAAAAGTATACAACCAACCCATTCCAACAATACAAACCCTACATTAAACTAAACAATCATTACAAGCAAATCACTAAAACTCTCCAAATCAACCCACAATTAGAAATGTGATTCTGACCTAGCATCAAAACCGGTTAGGGTTTTAAAATCGATCGGGAATACCAAATAAGAAATGCGGTTTTGACTTACCCAAAAGCGGTCTTCGTCTTCACCAAGATTCGCCGGCGTCGGCGCAGACGGAGAAGCGAGTTGAGCGTCGAGGAAGTCTTCCGAGTTGAGCGCGACACACCACCGAGTGGAGACGAACGCCGACGATGAAACTCAGTAACCGCAGAAATAGCGATGCAAACCGGCGGAAGGAGAAGAAAGCAACTCGCCGAGGAAGTCTTCCGAATTGAGCGTGACACACAACCGAGTGGAGACAAACACCGACGACGAAATAGCGATGCAAACCGCCGGACGAGGAAGAACGCCGACGAAACTGACATGAATTTGTAGACGAAACTCTGAATTTGGGGCCAAGATCTGGAAAAATGGTGGAGACGAAGAACAGAAAAGGGATCTGCGATTATCCCGTGAAAAATGGTGAAAACGGATTCTCTCTCGAATGAATGGTGAGAAATGGTGAAAAGTGATCTGCGATTCTCTCTCCACTCCATGAACAGCTTTTATATTAAAAAATAAAATACGATTTTTTTTTAACTAAAAGCTAAATGACCATAATGCCCCCGTCCCTACTGCTAAACTATTGCACCGTTAGATCTAAAATAGAATCAACGACTGAGAGAGGCTTAGTCTGATGACTAAGGCCCCCCCTCCCCCTAGTCACCAGATCTTGGCCGATTAGAGAGGCTCGCCCTGTTCTGCGTTAACAACAGGCGACCAGCTCCTATTCCGATTCCTCTATAACATCCTGCCTCTTGCCTCCAATCAATCAAAATAATAATAATAATAATACCTTCTAATTTGTTAGTTTGGAGACATTAAATAAATGTGTAAATTGCAAGGTTGGTCACTGAGATTATTAAAAACATTCATGTTTAGTCACTACAAATATTTAATTCTATTAGTGGTCATTAAAATTAGTTTGATAGTTCATGTTTGGTCACTCTCCGTTACCTTCCGTCAACCTCCGTTAACACCGTCAGTTATTTGCTGACATGTCTAACAGAAATGCTTAGTCACCCAATAAAACTGATCTCCCACGTCAAAAGCCCACAATGTCAGCCCATTTAACTGACTCAAACCAACTCTGCCCCTAAACCGACGCCTCTTATTTACCCCTTCCTCTTCTCGGCGGCTGTCCCGCGACCATCTTCACCACCCTGCCCCCTCTTTCCACCCCAGCCGCCACCAGTCCACCTCCTCCTCCACCGCAGCTATTCCTCCACCCCTTACAAAGTTGAAAGTGAAAAACAACAATCCCAATCAAGAAAATTTGTCCATTCAAAATCAGCCCATCCAAACCTCACTAAATACCCAACATCAATTACACGACTAGAGCATCCAAACCAAAAATGGATTAAAACCCAGGAAATTGAAAAAGGGAAACTGAGACGAATTAATAGGAAGTTGCCTCCAATCCTTCCTTTGCCGGTGGCGTCGCCGCCTCTATCATCCTCATGTTTCCCGTCCTTGGAAGGCTTAGCAACGGCGGCGTTGCCGTTGGAAACTGGACCAGGCCCGGGCTCGTCCAACACCGTCCGGATCTCTTGGGTATGGCGATTGATGATGAGAGTTTGGGAGTGGAATCGGCGAGGAGGGAAGAATCGGGAGCCGAGTAGACCACGATTGGGGATACGTTTGGTGATCTTCTTCTATCGATTCACCAGTGGTGGTGGTGGTGGTGGTGGTGGATTTTGCGGCATAGTTGGACGCCGACGAGTGAAGGTTATAATCTTTCTAAGGTCTTCTTATCCGATTGGAAAGGCGGCGGTGAGGGCGAGCTCATAGAGCGATTTGGACTTGGATGAGGCTGATGTTGTATTGGATGGAGTCGGGGAATGGGCGGCGTTGAGGGCGAGCTAGGAGAGGGTTTTGGGTTTGGAGGAGGAGCCAGAGGCGGCGACAATGTTGAACTTGGAGGAGGAGCTTGCGACGGTGAGTTATTAGGGTTTTTTTGGTCGGGTCAAATAAAGGAAGAAGATGACGGGTAGGGTCACTGGTTGGGGTGGGTATCTCATGTGGCGGGTTTAGCTGACTGTAAGGGTCGGGTTTCATTTTTTTATAATTTAAATGAGATGAATCAACACTTTTGTTAGCCACGTCAGCAAAATATTGACGGTGTTAACGGAGGCTAACGGAAGGTAACGGAGAGTGATCAAACATGAACTATCAAAATAATTTTAGTGACCACTAATGAAATTAAATATTGGGCTAATACCACTACAACACCCGAACTATGACAAAAATGCCACTTGTGTCCTATTCTTTTCAATATTTCATTTCTTTCCTAAACTATGATACTTTGTGTCATTTGTATCCTAGCGATTTTGTTGACCGTTAGATTTAACGGTTGACCAGACGGTCTTGAAAATGACGTCAGATTGGGGTCGATGTGGCAGCAACGTGGCAGCCACGTCATATTTTAATTAAAATTTATAAAAATAATCTCAAAATTAAAAAATTCCACTAGCCTCTCCGTTCTTTGTCCCCGACCATTTGCCAGCAAAAACCCAAACCCTGGCCTCTCCGTTCTTTGTCCCCGACCATTTGCCAGCAAAAACCCAAACCCTGGCCTCTCCGTTCTCTGTCCCCAAATCGACGCCACCAGACCTCCTTGTTCCGGATCCAAGACGAACATCACCAGCCGCCACTGCGAAGGTGTCATTGATGATGATGTATATGAGGTCAAGTTTTGGCCCAGCCTCAAGGCTCGCCAGCAAGATCGATGTTGACGAATTTGATGAGGCAGCGACTTCTCACAGTGGCGACGCGGCGGAGTGGAGTCTCAACCCAGATCTGGTGATAGATCTTGATTCTCATGGATTCGATTTTGCGACGAAAGAGAACCGATGTCGGAGGAGGAAGGAGAAAGATCGATTCGCTCCAATTGGAATAAGAAACCCGCCTCCGCCGATAAAGTTCCGCGAGTCTTCTTGGCTGAACGATGGCTTTGCTGAATCTCTAAATCGGGGGAAGGATGGGGATTGGGGAGAGACAGATCAAAGATGGAGACGGATTGGTGGCGGAGGCAAAACAGTGGTGAAGGAGAAGGAAAGGGAGGATTGCTCGAAGGAGGTTCTGGGTGGTGGTAGAGCGATGACGAACTGGTGGTGGATGGTAGTGTATCGGACGGGAGGGTTATTCGTGGTGGGGGGGGGGGGCGATGGCAAAACTGGTGGCGGCGGATTGGTTCAGGTAAGAGGAAGAGGCGGATTGGGTCAAACCAGTGTATCAGAGGGATGATTGCGGTGGTGGCGGATTGAGTCGGCAAGAGGAAGAGGCGGAGCAAGCTCGGGATTGGGATTGGGAAGATAGATTAGGAATTTTTAAATTTTTGCTTTTTTTAATTGTTATTTAATTATTTAAAAATAACACATAAGATGCCACGTCAACGCTGACTGAATTTTCTGTTAAATACTAACAGTCAACGCTGGTCAACATTAACGGAATAATAGTTCAGGACATAAATGGGATATTGAAAAGAATAGGACACAAATGACATTTTTGTCATAGTTCGGGTGTTGTAGTGGTATTAGCCCTTAAATATTTGTAGTGACTAAACATGAACGTTTTTTGTAATCTCAGTAGCCAACCATGCAATTAACCCTTAAACAAACTACGCATAACATCGGGTTAGATTAGGTCCTTAAACCCCATTCATTAAGGAGAATCTTAAACCCTTGCCAACCAATAGGAAGAGGAGAGAGATAATCATAAGTAATTATTGGCTAACTACCAATAAGGGCAAGAATGTAATATAATTAAAAATTAATTATATTATTAATAAAATTAAAAAAACCCCTTCTCCTCCCACGGTTTTCTTCCCTACATCCTCCTCCCTCACCGTTCACCGTTGAAGATTAGAAAACACCAGCTCTACCGTACTGCCCGGTCACCGTCGTCCTTTTCTGTCAATTGTCTCACGACGCAACAAACGAGGATACCACCGTGGACCACGACCGACATCTTGTAGCCGTGGATCTGCCGGTGAAACTTCTCCATCGTCTCCTTTGAAATTGCGGCGCCCCTACTTCCACCACGATCGGCGTCTAGTAGCTTCGATCCGCCGGTGAAAATTCCCCACTGTCCTATTATCTACGCCGGTGAAGATCCGATCCGCTCCGTCCCGTGCCGGTGAAACTTCTCCATCGTCTCCTTTGAAATTGCGGCGCCCCTACTTCCACCACGACCGGCGTCTAGTAGCTTCGATCCGCCGGTGAAAATTCCCCACTGTCCTATTATCTACGCCGGTGAAGATCCGATCCGCTCCGTCCCGTCGTGTCTCTCTCGTCCGTAGTTGGTGAGCGGTGGAACCCCCAAGGCCCCAACCGTCTTCAAGTGCTTTGGCAACCGCCGTCAATGATTCTCGTCATTAATAATTACCATAATATGATTAATAATAGTAGCATGTTCGGTTAATAATGTATTATAATATTGATTGACGTCGTGGTTGAATATTATTAAAATTGTAGCATTAATTTGTTAATAACGTTGGTGAAAAACCTCAAATTGAAGGCTCCTCTAATTGTCATAGCGATGTAGTTGCCAGTTAATAATTACCAGAATATAATTAATAATAGCAACATTGTAGGTTAATAATGTATAATAATATTGATTGACGACGTGGTTGAATATTATTAAAATTATAACGTTGCTGGAAAATCTCAAATTGAAGGCTCAGCTGATTATCATAGTGATGTAGTTGCCGGTTAATAATCACCATAATATGATTAATAATAGTAGTATTTTCGGTTAATAATGTATAATAATATTGGGTGACGACGTTGTTGAATATTATTAAAATTGTAACATTAATTTGTTAATAATGGTGTCGAGAATATTGACACAAATAAAAACATGTCTAAAAGTTTCATGATCGGGTAAGAACATGAATAATGGCACAACTTGTTAGTTACCAGTTAATGACTCTAATGTTATTGTTAATAGTAGTGCAGTGGCAGGTTAATAATGATTAATAATATTGTTTGACGACGTTATAAACTGTTTATAAAGTTGTTGATAACGATATATACTCAACGCTACACATCTGAATGAAATACCTTGTGATGAAAACTTCGAGAGGCAAGATGTTGGTAACAACTTAACGGGAAGTGAATGTGACATTGCAGTGGATATTGAGGGGATGGAGTTGAGTTGTTTGCTTTACATATATGAAAATAAATAAAAAATTAATGCATCTTAGTTTTTATTTTATTTTTGAGTCTTCATATTTCAAAACTAGAATTTGGATACGATGAGTCTCCGAATGATGATAGCTTGGTACCAGTCGTGAACTTTGCAATTGATAATGCAGGTCATAGGAACCAATGGCTCATCAACAACAAATCCTTGGTTGACCTTAGCATCTCCAATCTATTCTCCTGAAGTACTGTAAAATTGCTGGTAGTGCAGCGAACAATTTAATAATGGGTTAAAAATCGTTAATAATGAACACAAATTGATAATAGTTCATGTTAATCGAGCCAACAACTTATTAATAGCACATCGTTAAAAATGTTGCTAATGACATTGAAAATATTAATAATGGGTGAAGAAACAGTTAATAGTGAACACCGATTGATAATAGTACACGTTAATTAAGCTAACAGATTATTTGTAGAACACTATTAAAAATATTGATAATGAAGTTGAAAATATTAATAATGGGTGGAGCACTGTCAAAAATTACAAATTGTATATAAATATATTGATAATCCATGAGTGAACAAAGAGCAATACAAACGAAAAATGTTAATAACAAAAACAAAACATTCATAATGGCATTTCACAAAGTCACACACATACGATGGTCATAAGAATATTGCATTAATTTTTTTTATAATGGTTGTATATTGGTCGTAAGAAAAAATTTCTCAATAACATACATGTTTGTTGATAGCGCAATATTTTTTTAACCAAAGTCATAGAGCAATAAGAAATGTAAAAATATAAGCTAATCTTGTTAAAAGGGGAAAAACATTGACCATCGCCCTTAAAAATTTTAAAATCAAAGCGGCCTAAATTTATAATGAACTTTATCAGTGAATCAATTTCGTGAAAATAGCGTCAGAAAAGGGATCAATTTGGACTTGTTGATAGTGCCGTGTTAAATATTAATAATTGGTAAAGAAAAGTTAATAATGAGCACATTATTAATAGCACTGTGTTATACATTAATAATGTAGTCGCGAAACGTTATAACTGCTGAAGAAATGTTAATAACGCAGTGTTGAAACGTTAATAACTGGTAAAGAAACGTTACTGATAGCTACGACACAAGTTAAACTTTTTGATAAATATGGACATGAATATTACATTGAACGTCGTCGAGGGGAGCACAGGAAGCGCCGACGACGGAATGAAGTGATGCTGGAAATCGATGTTGCGACACATATTGCTCTGATGACGGAAGCTGGAGAGTGATGGATGTAGGTGGCAGCTGTTGAGCGAAGGCGGCGAGCATTGCTTCACGACGACGGGAACGGGAGTGCGCCACCGGAAGACCAACCGACGACGCTCCCAAACAAAAATTAAGACCAAACTACGACACCGGAAGACCAACCTACGTCGACAACCGAGTGGTCTTTCAGCGGGATGAAGATGGACAGATGAAGGCCATGAGAAAGAACGACGGAGAATAGGAACTTGGTGGATAGGATGGCCGGAGAACGGCGGAGACCAATTGGCGGGAGCAGAAGGGACGGCCGGTGGCTGCAGCGGACAGGATGGTCGGAGAACATCCTTTGAAGAGAAGAGAAACGGCTCGGCTGCAGGTGAGGGGGAAAATCCGAGAGTGTATAGAAAGTTATGGTTATGTTTTTTAATTATTTACAATTCCCTTAATACCTTTAACAACTAATTAACTAATAACTCCCTATTAAGTATTAACTACCTAAAATTGAATCAACCAATCACAATGCTTTAAGATCCTTCTTAAAAAAGAGGGTTTAAGGACCTGAACTTAGGCCTGCATAACATACAGTGACATTACACATGACAAAGATTCAACATTTTTTTAATGGATATTGGTTGTTTTCCCCCAGCCTAGTTATTTTGCTAACTTGAAGATTTGTTAGTATATACTAACTAATATCTAAAATGTATGAATTAATATTCAAGTCTGCTAAGTATCTAGATAGCACAGACTAGTATTCAAAACATGACAAACTAGTATTCAGATAGCAGATACCAACTAGTATCCACAATCAACCAACTAGTATTAAATGTGGATACTTTTATGGGTTATCTGGATACTCTTATGTGTTATCTGAATACTAATGTGTTGTTTGGATACTATTCTGTATTGTCTAGATATTAGTTTGTGAATTTGGGATAATAGTTGATTCATGGTGGATATCAGTTAGCAAACTTTGAATACTAGTCTGTGCTCTCTAGATACTTTAGTACTTGGATATTAGTTCAACTATTTTGGATATCAGTTAGTATCTGCTAACGAATCTTCAAGTTAGCAGATTAACTTTCCCCGTTTCCCCCTAGTATTAATCACAAGTTTTCCCCTGTGATTCCGTAGGATTTCCACCCTTAATCAAAGTGTTCGTTATATGAATAGATTATGATATTTTCATTTGTCATGTTTTTATTGTTTTTTATGTAGATAATGTTATTGGTATTTAGATTCACCCCAAAATAGGGTAAATGTTATGAAATAACAAGGAAGAGGAACATACACAAGAGTAAGAGTAGATACACGAGAAGAGAGGGGAATAGAGTTTTTCTTATTCATTTGTCTTAGTACATTTGTGTGCTCTATTTATAGGCACAAATACATAACTCCTACAACTCTAACATCAATACACATAAGTGGGAGTAATGTGTCATAAGGAGAAATAAATATAAGGAGAGGACTTACATAGAATTTGTAACGTACTATGGAGCATCTAATGTTGGTCATCCATAATAATAATATTTTCATAACACTCCCCCTTGGATGACTATTAGACATGAATATGCCTCGTTAAAACCTTACTAGGAAAAATCCTGTGGGATAAAATCCTAGTGAAGGAAAAAGAGTGCATAATCATTATAATACGCTATCTGAATCTGCCTCGTTAAAAACCTTACCAGGAAAACCCAGTGGAAAAAACCATGGTTAAGAAAAAAAGAGTGCAGTGCGTATATGCTCCCTCCCATGACAACATCAAAGTATAATGTTGTGAACAAAATTTTCAAATATTGTCATGGTAAGCTTCTTAGTGAACAAATCTTCTAGATTGTCACTTTATGCATGATCCATTAGGACCATTTTCTTCATACATGATCTTCATGATCATTTTATGTGAAGATAATCCACAACTACAAGTCATTTAGACGTATTGAATCACAAATCTTAACCAAACAATTCATAACAAGTCTCATGAATCGTTGACCATTGTGCATGATCAGATGATGTTGCTATTATGATTTCTTTGTAATGTCCATGAGATACTTGTATGACCATAAGTAAACAAATTACTCAACAATGATCCTCATCGTTACCTATAGGTAACAAAGTATAACTTAATGAAGTATAGCGAGATACATTTTTGCTATAACGATATTAACATATGGTACTTCAGGACCTAATAATTCATTTCTATCTCAAGGCCTAAATTGATCTTTGTTCAGTTCTAGTGACCTTATGATCATTAGGCTGTTGAACATATGCAATTTTTTCCATACAAAATTGTCCTTTCACCTTTCCGACATTGTCGTACTGATCCAAAAAGGATCTTCTTAAATCCTTCATGTTCAATTTTCTTTCTTTAAGTAATCCATGTTGTATGAAACTCTTCTGGAGTTCAATTTTCTTTCCTTAAGCAAACCATGCTTTATGAAGCTCTTCTGGAGTTCATATCAACTAAAAGATATGAGATCATTATAAAATAATGTCTCAACTATTTTCTTCTAAATAAATATAAAACTTAGTTAACACAATTGTATGCAAGCAATTATTTCATACCACAAGGTCATAAGCAAAATCACACAACATAAATTAACCAAACTACTCTCATAAATCAAAAATCATACATGTCACACGCATAAGCCTATATGTCAATACAATCATACATGCCAAATGCAAATGCTCTACACTAAATGAATATGCCATATCCATCCATTTTGCCTCAATCCGTACTAGGGATTGGTCATTTGATTGATAAATGTTCTCGAGATTGTCACATGTTTGCTTCCAGCAAACTAATCCTTTAGAGAATTTCGTATAAATATCATTATCAAGGGATCCATACAAATAGGCTATCACAATATCTACCAAATGCAAATTTCATACTTTTAGAACTGCCAAACTATTAAATTTCACAATATAGTTGTATACACCACAAGATAGTATGTCCTCTCATAAGTAATGTTAGGTTTCTATGAGAAACCCCCTATGAGAAATTGTGTTATATCTCTCACAATTTCACACATTTCCTTACGCGTTTGTATAAAACCCATTTGTATCCCGTTAGTTTTACATCTTCAGGTGTAAGGACTTCTGGTCCAAAACTTTTATCGAATAAGTCTAATGCCTTCTTTTGTATTGACCAATAAATATTCTTTTGCATACATCAATAGAATTTTACTTTTGATCCTCTTTGTATCTATAACGTTCAGCGCTACAACATAATCAAAACCCTTAAAACTTTCAGGTACCTACTCTTCTTCTGGAACTATGATATCAAATATATGACTTGACTCTTCTAGAGCTATTTTATCCTCGAGTTGACCATCTTAATTTATAGGTCCTTTCTTTCTCTAGGATTTTTATCCTTGGAACCGATTGGTCTACCATGCTTCATGCGCTCGTTTAGACTTATTAAATTGTCCAATATGGACATCAATTTGTATTGGAGCATTCACAATTGGGCATGTGACATAATCACTCTTTTTAGTGAGTAAAAGGCGTTTGGCAATCGATACGTTTTTTTCCTCCATGAATCACCATATGAACTTCGGGTTCATGATTCTTCGTTTGAGGATCAAACTGAGATAATGATGATTCCAACTCACATCTATGCCCAACTGTTTACTTTTCTCCTCCTTCACGTTCGAAAAGTAATTCTTCAAAATGATGATGATATTATCAAAACGAGTTATGAACAAATCTCCCAATGCAATGGACACCATGTCCAACATAAGTTCTCATGGAACTCATAACGTGTTGTGGTGGAGCGATTGGGATGTATTCTGCACACCCAAATTTTCTAGCATTTTAAATGTTTGGTCCCTAACCAAAACCATTTGTATGGGGGGGGGGGGGACTTTTGATAACTTGTTGGCTTCATGCAAATTAATGATATCATATGCCTCGATAAGAGATCGATAGGCTTAGCTTGTTCTCATAAGAGAAGTTATGTTTGATTGAATAATCATCAAAATATATATCATTCGACAACTAATCTCGTAAACATCTGGTTGCGGTTAGATAACAGACATATATGACGACATAGTTGATGAATCAATCAAAATCATAAATTCATATATGATTTGCACGATGAGTGTATTTCTCTGCAAACACTTTTATAAAATCCCAACAGATTCAATTATTTTCACGAGTATATTATCCTCTAGAGCATGTATCACATAATCAATCCTTTGATTCTCTAAACTCTCACTTAATTTTCATATGATATCTCAATCATTTTCACATCTGTATCCGGGATGGTATGACCAGACATGCCAAAACAAAAAGTTACCCGATCTTGTAAACTTCTGGTTTACTCTTCATATGTACTAATATACATTTAGTAAAAATTTCTCCAGTTAAGTATGTTCTCTTAGAACACATTTCTGATATTTGTTTTTGCGAATATCTTCATAATTTGGTAATGCATCTTCAACTGACAGTTTAGTTCATTCACGTCTCAAAACATTAGCTCTTCTGAAGCCTTCACATACTCTTTAACTACATTTTGGCCATGAGGCACCTTCTGATTCGGTGAACTATTGTAAGCGCATATACATAGTGATTAGAATATTTTCATACTATGGATATTGTCGCAACCGTCCCTTCAGGGGTCGCCTTCGCTTTTTGGGAGTCGCCATCGATCTTACTTGGAGCGGATCGAACACTCTTCGAATTGGCTCTAACCTTTGGGTCAGAACCGAGATATGGTCTGGGGTTAAGAGATTCGGGTTCGGGAGTACAATTACATGTGGGGAAGTGAAATCACACCCCACAATGCCCAAAATCGGTACTACTTAAGTCGATAAGTTTTTATATGAGTTGGGTGTATTTTAGTAATTATGTATTTTTAAAATCCCAATGGACCATTACTATATTGCTATTTCATTGGATATAATTTAGCTAAACGTCCATTGACGTATTAGTTTATTATTAGGTATTTTAGGTATTTTTAGGGCCTTACTGAACCACTAATAAATTTAAATCGTATTAGTTGTAATGAAATTATACGCCCATCGACGTAAAATGAAAAGATAAAGTCAATTGGTTAGTTGGAATCGAACCTTATCGGTTGCTACATACCCGTAATACGGGATCAAAGTCCGCGTAGTTAGTTAGAACTTTGATAATTTTGGTTGTAACCACGTTCCACTGATCGTGATTCTCACATTAAGAATTTTGTTAATAAAATTTGAATAGGTTATTACGAGATTGTTAAGAGAAACATAATAATTTTAGTTATTAGGAAGATACTTGGTGTATTAGAAAAGAAACAAAATTAACTTAATCCGCATTTGAAATTTCGTATTAAGGATATTAAATGACAAAATGATACTCAATGACTAAATTAGTCGAATCCCAAAAAAAATCACCTAACTTTTCTTTCGTTTCTTGTGGATTTTGGGGCTTTGTTTCGGACAAGGGGAAAAGAAGCGGGGAGGAGACCACCCGCGACCACTAGAACGACAAACTATTGACGGTTGGCTCGGATTTGTCTTTGTTTTTGGTTTATCGATTGTATTTTTGTTGGGATCTGATTTTTATCTGGTATTTTTATGGAGGTGGGAAGACAAAACGGAGGTCAGGAAAGAAGAAAGCCGACGGCGATAGGTTATTCCGTCAATGACGATGAGATCTAGGTGCGATTTTTATTTGCATGTTGAGTTTCCTTCTGATTTTTAATAAAAAAAACAAGGTTATGACTTTTCCTTCTTTTTTCTTTTTTTGGTTTGGAACGAGGGAGAAGAAAAGGGGGACGCTGAAGGAAAAACAAAACTCGCCGTCCGCGAGAATCCCGACGACGGCGGAAGACAGGTGATAAACGTTTCTTTTCTATAACGTTTATTTTTGTTGATTTCGATCTGGGTCAGATCTAACCTCTACTCTTGTTTTGACGCAGATTGAGGAAATGGACGGATATATGTGAGGTCTCTTAACCTCGGTTTAGTATGGTTTGGAAATTTTTACTCGAAAAGTGGATTTGGTAGGTATGGACTTTTGAAAAATGGTTGTTTACGTACGTTTTATGCCCTTGGTATGCAAATTAGTCTCTTAAGAAAAACCGAGTAGTTTTAAAAAGAGCTGGCTCATTAATGATTGATCTCCACCACTGCTTGCGATCTACTAAATTAGGAAAGGAAAGTTTTCTCTATATATGCATTATCGTTGCTGGGTAGATATTATGATGGTTTAAAATTGGGTTCAAGATCTTAGATTTTAGGAAATATGAGTGTGAATGTCTTGATTTTTGTTGTGATATCAAATTAAAAACAAAGTAGTTAGAATGCTAGCTTTTAAATCATCATCGCCACTGCGGGTAATTTTACTAGACCTATAAATCGCTGCTATTGCTTGTGATTTTGCTAGATTATGTTGTGGGTTTTGAAATATGTAGTCTATTGTGTTTGGTGATTTTTGTTGGATCTGGATCCAGGTTGATCCATGGACTTCTAAAAAATGTGGTTTTTGCTTGTTTAAAAAAAAAAGAAATATGCTATCTAGCTGTACTTTAATTTGCACACGTATATGTTTGGCTATGAATGATGGAAATCTAAGCATGGCAGAAAGTTAAAACAAAACATCCAACTCCACTCATAGTTTAGTTTATCGGCGTAACAGTAATATCATAGACCAAGCTAATAATATGAGAGAAAACTTAATGAAATTGATGTGAGCTGATCTTGGTAAATAGAACGCTTGAATGTAAAGAAACTTGGAAAGTAAAACGTTTGATTATAGATAAGCAAGTAGATTGACAATTATATATGTACAATGATCAAGCATAGACTACTAAATGAGATGAAACTTGTTAAGAACATTGAAACATAGTCAAAAGGTCAACCTAGTTGAAATTTCTAGGCCCAAGACTGGCCTTTTTTGCTTCAATCCCTAAATCTGCTTCTCCATTCACGTGGTTCTCCTTCTACCCACTGATCTTCGACAAAGAAAAAGAATTCAAAGAGGGAAATCTTTTCTATTTTGGGATGTCAATTTCTATTTCTGTCTCTATTTTTCCTTGTCTAATCCCTCCCCCAACAAAGAGCTCAAGTAGGAATTCAGATATCGTCCACCACTTGGTTTTTGGAGAACGAATCAACCAACGACCCAGATCGCAGGCACACACAACAGACGTTTTGGATCTGTTGAAAGCTTTAGTTAATTCTTACGAAAGTAGTTGTTTTGAACGAGGAAGCTGAAAAGGAAAGTGAAGATTTATGAGCGAAGCCGAAGATCGGGTTCCAGCGCGTGTTCCCCCAAATAATTTTATTCCTTTCTCTAGTCCCGCCCAACGACTCCTGCCCATCGAAGAGAAAATTTGGCACTCCTTCTTTCATTTTGTTCCCGCCCCAGCAATTAATCTGGTATTATGTTTCTATACTATTGATCTGTGAACCTAATTTTTAAAGTTTAATCATATCTATTTCCAGATTAGGGGTTATTGACAGAGTAACCCTAGCATCAATTTTTTCACTGGTGAAGAGAATGGGATCTCCAGGATTGGATCTTAACTTTCCTCCTCCAACAGACGACAAAGTTGATGTAGATGATCTGGTGGGTTATATTCATTTTCGTCTTTGTCCCTTTATCGCGAAGCATTCGTGGTGATAATGTTTTAAGTTTTTTCCAGTTCGGTTTCAATGGTGAGTCGGATGTTGATGAATTCTTCCTTGATCCCGAGATATTGGATCTTTCAGAGCAGGAGCAGCTGGGTAAGTCTACTTACCTAGATCTATAGTTATGATATCCTTAAAGTTAGTCTATTTTCTTTATTTCGGCATTGAATGGTGATTGTACATGTGTTTGTTTTGGTGGTTGATGAAATAAAGAGTGACTTTATTGCATTTGGATGGGTCTGAGTAGTAGAATCATGATAGAGTGTTTGAGTAAGTTATATACGTGTCGTCTTTTTTGTTAAATTTTATTTTGTTTCAGGTAGATGGGCATCATTGTTCGAAAAAGGCGACGAACGTTTACATATTCAGCCCCTCAACCCTGCAGAGTGCCTTTGCCTGTACAAGAAATATGCGCACAGTTAGGGATATAGTGTTCGTATTCAACGACGTAGATGGAACATTGTGAAAAATGAAAATGGTGAAGAATTTAAGTTAATGTACCTGCTTCATTTCTACTGCAGCAAGGCTAGATGGGGAAGACAGACCAAATCCAGCCCTAAAGCGTTAGAAAGACTTCCAGAGGCTCCTAAGGAGGCAATGTCAGTTAGTGAAAGAAATTGTTTTGAACTCAGGACTGGTTGCTCAGCGTATGTGAAATTCAGGTGGGACGTTGACATGCAAGCATT